TTTACGCGGGCCTCCGTGGGTTCAATTGACCGCGTAAATTGGGGTATTACTATATACAATACAGAGTACAGGTAAAAGAAATAATTGTCCTAAGGGCAAACACATAAAGGAAATATACATTTCTTTGCACACGAGTAGAATTGTACTTTAACCCCCCCTCCAGTCAGCCTATGTTATTTGTGGATTTGGCTATTCGCGGCAATTAAGAGAACCTAACCCCCGCGAATTTGAAGGGCCTGCTGTAATTGAAAATAAATTAAGAATGATACTATATAAACCATTTCATCTGCAATAAAGGAAAGAAATAATACAAGGAAAAACGGCTTGATGTGAAGAGGCTGTTTAAAATTTATATGGATGAAAGCTAATTGAGATGGGAATGGTCATGAAGAATGCTATGCTAGATAGATTTATTTGGATAAAAATTTGATGCTTTTGTTTTGGAAAGTTAAGAGGTAATGTAACCCCGACAAAAGATTGATGATCAGTTTTACTTATTTTTCCTGGAGAATAATGGACCTTAAGGTACAGTACAGTATTAGTAGCATTGTGTGCTCAAAGGTTAAAGAGTTTGAGTGAAGAAGCAACTTTTACACTATGACCTGTGATGTGCTCTGTCACTAGTATTGTTCACTTCATTTATTGAACACAAGTTATTGATATGAAGAAAACAAATTTGTTGAGATATTTTTTTAAAATTAACCAAAAATATAGAGAAAAATTGGATAAGAATAAGATAATTAAAGTAGAAAGGTTGATTGATTTAGATTTAAAGACTTGGATTTCAGTAGTTTAAAATTTAAAAAAATTTCTTATCACAAAATTTTGATACATGTTTTGTAAATTATTTCCTCTGCATTTTTCAGCTGGAGCCGAGTATATCAAATTAGCAGATACAACTGTGTGGGTGCCTGGAGGTGCAAATAACAATAATTATGCCAACGTGAAACTTATTCTTGATATTGCTACTCGGTATGAAGCAGATGGTGTGTGGGCAGGTTGGGGTCATGCCTCAGAATACCCTGAATTACCAGGTAATAATAATGCTTATTACTCTATACAGTATTGTATTGTTTCTTTACTTTTGTTAGTCAAACACCCATTCTGAATAAAACTTGTTGATAGCCTTTGAAGAATATACAGTATACTGTACTGTACCCTTTTTCCCATTTATTTATATACTGTATTAGAATGGCTTTATACTGCACTGTAATTTGCCCTAATTATTTGTAATTACTGAATCGTTTTTCAGCGAAGTTACATAAGAATGGCATTGCATTTATTGGTCCACCGGAAAAGGCCATGTGGGCATTAGGAGACAAAATTGCATCCAACATAGTTGCTCAAACAGCAGACATACCAACTTTACCATGGTCTGGATCAGGTTAGTTGAAAAGCTTATCTAATTGGTGGTGGTGATATACAGTTTGCTTTAATGGATATACAATTTTACTGAAGTGATACAGTACATGGGTGTTGAGAGAAAATTTAATTTTAGATTAACTGCATGTTTAGAAAGTCATTCTTATTGAGTCAGGGAGGTAGTTAAGATACCCATTAGATCTAGCTAACATACCCATCAGACCTAGCTAGGCCATACATATAATATGCAAGTTTAAATGTATAGTATCAAAAGAACCCTCAATAAATTTTGTGGTGGTTCATTTCCTATAAGAGTCATTGTTGTTTTACAAAGGAATATACCTGACAAAAGAGGTGGCTTTAAGAAAATTAGATTGAAGAAACTTTTAGTAAATCCTTATTGACTTAAATTTTGATCCTTTACAGGTCTTATAGCTGAGTATACAGAAAGTGACTCTGGTCCCAGATTAAAAATTCCTCATGATTTATACAAGAATGGATGTGTTGAAACTGTAGAAGAAGCTCTCACCTCGGCAAAGAAAATTGGATTCCCTGTCATGATAAAAGCCTCAGAGGGTGGCGGAGGAAAGGGTATTCGTAAGGCTGAATCAGAGGACTACTTTCCAGCACTCTTCAGACAGGTTGGTTTACTGAATGCATGTATAAAGTGTGGCAAGAGTTTTGTACAACAATTTTTTTTTTTTGACACTCCCCTACATCCTTGTGTAAGGTGAATCACAGAAGCATTTTACAGCACCCAACAGGGGAGCATGCTAAGTTCATGCTTGCCTTGTGTCTCATGAGGTAAGGGCGTAGAAGCCTGAAGAGTCAAGGGCGTAGAAGCCTGAGAGTCAATGGTTTATGTCTAAGCAAGTTATTGGAAGCTCCAACAACTTGTCCCTGAATACGAATTCGCAACTTTTGATTTACAGCAGGTACCTACTTTACTGCTAGGTGAACAGGGACCAAGGGGACTAGGAAGAATGTCCAAACAACTTCTGCTGGCCCGGGAATTAAACCCGTGACATTTTGCTTGATAGGCAAGAGCGGTACCGCTCCACCAGCGCCCCCCATGTACAACATTGACTTTGTATATGTGACCGACTTGAGCTGCTGTTTTGAAAGCAGCATTGTGATCTGTCATGAGGATCATCAGGTGTGGGTGGCATGACACATAGTACAGCAACAGGAAACAGCTTGTAAAAATGGAATCCTGTAATTATATCTAATTGTAAACTTGAATAATGTTTTTTATGAGTACATTACTATACTGTAGTATAGATTATAAATTTAAAGAAATATCTCTTCAGGTACAAGCAGAAGTTCCTGGTTCTCCCATCTTCATCATGAAACTGGCTGAGTGTGCTCGTCATTTGGAGGTGCAGATCATTGCTGATGTGTATGGGAACGCAGTGTCATTGTTTGGCCGAGATTGTTCTGTACAGAGACGACATCAAAAGATCATTGAAGAAGCACCATGTGTGATTGCAAATCCAGAAGTCTTCCATAAGATGGAACAGGTCATTATATGAAACTTACTCCTGTACTGTGACAATGCCAGATATTTTACACTATCTCACACAGAATTTTGTAAAGTAATATTTCTCATGTCTGCCTATTATTAATATGAGGATGGCTGATGTACATTCTTTTGTGTTTGGGTTATTTTTTCTAAAATCCTGCTTTTTACTATTTTGCATAATTGCTCTTTTCCAGCCACCCTTCACTATGTGGAAAAGTGCTCCAAAGAATAAATAAAAAGATAATTTTCTTTCGTTGCAGGCTGCAGTTAAATTAGCAAAATTAGTGGGGTACGTTAATGCTGGTACAGTTGAATACCTGTATGACAATGAGGGAAACTTTTTTTTTTTGGAACTGAATCCACGCCTTCAAGTAGAGCATCCTTGTACAGAGATGATTACAGATATAAATTTGCCAGCAGCACAACTACAGGTAAGACGGGGCTTCAACAAGGTTTGTAGAGTTTTATAAGAAATTTGAAGAGGAAGTTATTTTTTAATATGCCACACAACTTGATATAATGAAAAACTTAAAACAAATACTAAAAACCCAACTTTATGTTACTGTATTATTTTTTTTCTTTTTCATCCATCATTTAGGTTGCAATGGGCATCCCAATGCATCGAATTCGTTGTGTGCGAATCCTGTATGGGGAGTCTCCTTGGGGTGATAATGTAATTGACTTTGAACAGGCCAAAAATAAACCTGTGCCAAAAGGTCACTGTATTGCTGCTCGCATCAACAGTGAAAATCCTGATGAAGGTGGGTACAACACGGGTCATTTAGTTATGGGCTTGGCCATAAAATGAGAATTCAGGATCAACCCTATAGTGTTATTTCATAATTATTATTTTGGGTGTTTATTATTCAGGTCTAAATTTATTACACAGGTTTCAAGCCAAGCTCAGGGACAGTGCAGGAATTGAATTTTCGATCAAGCAAAAATGTGTGGGGGTACTTCAGTGTGTCTGCTTCAGGAGGACTTCATGAGTATGCCGACTCACAGTTCGGTCATTGCTTCTCTTGGGGAGAAAACAGAGAAGCAGCCAGAAAGTAAGTGGATTAATTCCTCTTTTATGAGAGATATTTAAGCTAAATACATTAGTGGTGTGCATGACTGAACTGACAGCATGGCATCAATTGGAATTTGGGGATGGACCTGCCATTGATCGATGATAATTGTGATGTGACCAGTGTTAAACTAGATAAGTACTTGAGGCCTTATTATGGAAAGGGAGTACCATATGAGAACACATCTGTTACAGTAGTAAAAATGAGTTTATGAAAACCTATAAAGAATTTTGTATGTTTTTGCATCTGATGTGTGAGAGAGAGATACTGTATATTCTGGCCACCCTACATTAAATGGGAAGAGGCTGGAATGATTTATTGTTTTTTTGTGTGTGTGAAGCTTGTGTGTAACTATTTAAAATTAAAAATTTGATTTTTATTGAATTTGCAGAAATTTGGTGATTTGTCTGAAGGAGCTTTCCATTCGAGGAGATTTCCGAACAACTGTGGAGTACTTAATTACACTGCTTGAGACAGAAACATTCCAGATAAATTCTATTGGTAAGTTCGATATGTAAATATTAGCCAGATGCAGAGTTTTTAAATTTTTTATCAAAGGGTAAATGTTAGTAATCAGAAGGTACAGTACATAACTTATCAAGAATAACTAAAATAATATTTCATCAGGAACTGGCCAGGTTTGAATTCCCTGCATGTGGGTGACAAATAACATAAGAAATGTCACAAAATTTTGCTTACAGTATCTGTCTAATATTTTGTCTGTTTATGAGGGGACTTCAGATGTGGCTAAGCAAAGTGTAATGTTTTCAAGTCATTTGTATAACATAAAACTTGTTAATGTTGATACTTTTACAATTTTAGGTGGATTGATTTGAAACTGGTTGGCATCATCATTACAACTAAAACATGTGGACCAGTGTGTGTTTATTGAGGGTTAAGGTCACAAAGACTTCAAAAAATTGTCAATGCAGCTTGTCTTCATGATGTTTCTCAACGATATTTGCTTTATGGGGTCATTGTTGCTAAACAAAGTGACCAAGGCATCTGTTGTGCTTTGTATAGGTTTCATCATCTTATCAAGAATATATTTATACAGCATTTATAATTCTTATTCAGTATGATAAATTAGCAGGGTTTCTTCACTCATATTTCTCACCAAAACCACATGTTCAGTACAGAAATTTCAAATGAAATGTTGTATCTTTTTAGACACAGGTTGGTTGGATCACTTAATAGCATCTCAAGTGAAAGGCAAGAAACCAGATACCATGCTAGCTGTGATGTGTGCATCTGTCATTATTGCTGACAATGCTATACAAGATGCTTATAATCATTTCCACAACTCGCTTGAAAAGTATGTCCCTTATCTAAAAATATTTTGTCTTTTTATTGTTAAAATGATTTTATATTGATGGTACTGGTGGACATTTTGTTTAAGTGTGTGCAATACTTGTTTAAATTTACATCCTTTATTTTTAATCAGATGAAGTGATGAAAAAGTTTTTGAATAATTTCTGATACTTCACAGGGGACAGAGTCTACCACTGAAGTCTCTGAATAATGTGGTGGAGGTTGACCTTATATCAGCAGGCACTAAATACCATATCCAGGCAACAAAATCAGGTCCTACACAGTACTTCCTTGTGCTTAATGACACTCACAAATCTGTAGATTTCTTTCGCATGAGTGATTGTGGCCTGCTGCTGTCTGTTGATGGTGTCAGCTATGTCACGTACCTCAAGGATGAAGTGGATAAGTAAGTGATTTCTTTGATTTTAATGCAAAGAGTTTGAATTGTTGTGTAATATATTTATCAAGTGGAAAAGTTCTGGTAGCCTGTTTTGCTTGGGGAATAAAATCCCCATAAAGATAATATTTAGTGGTAAGCTTATATTTAACAATGTTCATTTGATTTACCGTATATCACGGCCTATAAGGCGGCGGGGTGCATAAGACGCCCCCCCCAAATTTCCATTTAAAAAGTAGCTTTTGAGCTCTATTTGCTGTATAAGACCAGTACCCCAAATGTGACACTTACCCACTGACTCAGTAGTCCTTTACCAACCATCCTTGATTTTTTTAAATAAGGCCAATTCACTTCAAGTAATGTCATCAAATTATACTCGCTGGTGTAGTGTAAACACTAGTGACGTCACTGAAGCGTGGTGGGAGTGTTCCCTCGTCTGGGTGGTGTGACTATTTATACAACATGTGGTTCAACAGCAACCACCGTATTCTAATTGTGATGTTTCATTAGGATTTGAGTGAAAAAGGTTACCAGTATGTACTTACTACATACATTTATTACACAAATATATATATATATATATATATATATATATATATATATATATATATATATATATATATATATATATATATATATATATATATATATATATATATATATATATATATATATATATATATATATATATATATATATATATATATATATACTGAATATACTATGTACAAAAAATGAATGTTCAATGAATTATTTATGGTGCATTAGGGTACTGGTCACTTCTGATGGGCTATAAATAGCCTTCTTTATCTCCCCTACATCTCACCCTGAGCCAGGCGGAAGGGTCTTGGTAAATAACATGTTTGCTTATTTTCCATTTACTTTAAATAGATTTACCGAATTATTTGTTTTATTTATTTATTTATAATATACTGTAATATATTAAACACACTGTAATTATTTTCTTTAATTTATAAACTGTTTTGCGACAAAGGAATGTTCTCCAGTAGTGTTTCATTAGGATTTGAGTGAAAAAATATTACGTACTTACACAATTGTTCCTCTTACTTTGACAACACAACATACATAAAGTATATTATTTCTCAGTTTTGATCTTTTTTTTTAATTTTTGTATTTATTTATAGTTAGTTACTTAAAATAAGGCCAATTCACTTCAAGTAATGGCATCAAATATTACCAGCTGGTGTAGTGTAAACACTAGTGACGTCACTTGAGCGTCTGTAATTAACCGTCGATAGTTTCAAGAATTAATGCACTTTTCCTTTCTTGTCTCCTCACTGGCAAATGGGGGGGGCGTGGGGAGGGGTGTGTGATGATAGCTGTGTTTATTACAGGGGTATAAATCTCTTTTACGGTATGTTAGACAGGTTTATAATACATTTTTATTATTTTAATATACCGGTAATCTTAATTTGAATCCAGCTTGCCAAACGTAAGTTTCAGTATAAAATAATTAGTGGTAAGACCTTGTGAGTGGCTTACGATGTTTTCATCACCACTCTTGACACACTAAACCACAATATTTAAGAGGTAAGAATTTTAAACTTGGTGGTTTAGACGACCCTCTAACTTTGGGCAGATTTTTTTAATGTTCAAATTTCGTCTTATAGGCCGTGATATACGGTATGTGGACTTAATTGTTCAAAAGTAAATATGTTGTCAGCTTTGAAATGTAAGCAGTTGGAATAGTCTTGGCCATCACATTCAAAATTTAGTTATGAGGTGCTGGGTTCTTAAAAGACATAAACTGGAAGGTCATACCACAGGTCAGGCCAAATGGAATAAGACCATTAAAGCATTGCAGTGTATGTTTATTTCTGACTCGTATTACCACAGCGAGGGCTTTTTGTGTTCATTTAAGAGAAGGAAGAAATGCTATTGGTTGTCAAGTATAGTATGATGCTGTATTGTTATATTCCTTGAACTGAATAAACTTTCAATAGTATTTATGCACACCATTCTCTTTTGTTTTAGGTAACCCATTTACAAATTTTTTTTTTATAGTGTAATAATTAGTTGAGAAGAGGAATTTCTTCATAAGAAATGACGTTTAAAGAAAGGCCTATTTTTTCTTATCATTAGGTACTGCCTTACCATTGGCCACCAGACTTGTGTGTTTGAGAAGGAAAGTGATCCAACAACCTTGCGTACTTCAGCTCCAGGCAAACTTATAAATTACCTGCAGGAGGATGGGAGTCATTTGTTTGTAGGACAGCCATTTGCTGAAATTGAGGTGTGTACCCTTTTTGTTTTTAAGTTTAAGATGAAGATTCTAATATCTGGCAGGTTTATCTGACTTTAGTTTGTCTGTCTTGGCTGTTCTTTTGAAGTAACTGTAGTAACAATCATCTACAGTAGAAGTCCAAAAATCTGAACTGCTTGGGGATTGGGTCGGTTCGGATTTTCGGGATTCTCAGGCAGTACTTTTAAAATTCAAATTTAAGGAGGAATAAAGAAGAGATGAACAGGTACATTTTGATAGTTTATTCATTAGCAAATATAGCATGCTTCATTTATCAAAACGATCAGTTTTAAAGAAAAAGCTGTGAATTCTAGAATTTTATTCTTTGCCTTTTTTTCTATCATAAATTGTAGACTTTACAATGTCGTATGTTTCCATAAGAACAGTATTGTTCACACCACGTTCTATTTTCTTAATTATTTCAAGTTTGTCACTCAATTTCAACATGTTCTTCTTTCTCTTCACACAACGAAGTTTATCTACTTTGGGAGCCATTATTATGGGCTTGTACAGTACTCTGTAAATGGAAAGAGTAGAACTCAAAATTACATACGTTGTCACAGTTTGATTGCTCGTTTTAAAGTGGCGACCGTGTGGTCGCTTGTTGTCGCTTTGCAGCTGTGACGCTTACGCATACTCATATACACACAAAAGCCCGCTATAAAAAAAAAGTGAGTTTTCGAAAAGTCCGGATTCTCGGGTGGTCTGGAATTCTGGCATCCGGATTTTTGGACTTTTACTGTATTTTGTTATCCCTTCCATTCACTAAATTTAGTAAGACACACATTGCCATACCTTTGCTGCTTGGCACAAAATAAGTACCTGTAATAGAACCAGGAAAGAATGTAAAATGGTACAAGGATGAAATGATTAACTGTAATTTTTGGAGAATTATTTAACAGTGAAGCAAATCCAGAATACGAAACCTGTGCCTTAGTTAGAGACAGTACTGTGATGTGTATGGTACTGTGGGTCATTTCTAACACTGTACTCTCTTCATCAGCATCATCATAAGTTAGCTAATATGATTTTCAGATTCTAGTTGAACTAAACTTCATATTTTTTAATCCACAACATGCCATGATCTGTCAATATGCTAAGTAGAATGATGGTAGGTTTTACTTGGTTTTAAATTTGATTCCCCCAAGCATATGTATGTCCATACCCCCTCTTATTACTTCACTTCTTTAATGTTTCTTGTACTTGCTCCATTCAGATTTCTTTTTGGTTAATTTCACTCAATTTTATATTTGTCATACCACATCAGCACCATATCTAATTTTATTATCAGCAAATTCAAGAGGATTTCTTGTTTAACCAAAAGTGCATACAGGTATCCCTCGAGATACAAATGGGTTAGGTTTAAAAAAAAAATTTAGGTGAATATTTTGATCTCGAATAGAAAAACATATGGGAAGAATATGGTTCAGTTCCCCAATGATAAAAATATCCCAATATCATACTCCAAAAACACAAAATCAGTTCACAAACAAGAACAAAATGTACCTAATTAATGATAAATAGTAAACAACTACTGTAATCTATTTACTACCTAACACAAAAAAAAGATTCATAAACTACTGTTTAACTTTGGAGCAATACCTTATGAGAGGGCTAACGCGTGTGACCCACGCACGATGCGAGGGAGGTTCTGCCTGTCCTGTGACTGCGAGGCTAAGCACTTGAAGTGTGTTACATTGCCCAGAGGATGGTTTGTGTGTGGAAGAACTTATTCTTAGTACTTAAAATAATATACAGGCAGTTCCCGAGTTATGTACGGGTTCCGTTTCTACGGACGTTCTTAAGTCATAAATTTACTAAAGTTGAACCACATATCTATGTGCATACTGTACTTGCAGAACAGTGTTTAAAATCCTTATATACATCTAAAATCACTTGATTAAAGAGAAAAGAAGAAATAGAATGATAAAATCCAGTAACAGAGTAAAAAATGAGTCATCAGGTAAATAAAATACTCTTAATTTAAAGTTTAACCTTATGGGACCTCATTCATATTGGCGGATACTCGTTAGTCAGACGTACGTAACCCAGGGACCTCCTGTACAGTGGTCCTTCAGTTAACGAACGCCTCGGTTAATGAAATTTCGGTTAACGAATTACCTTCCATAAGAATATTCAATTCGGTTAACGAACAAAAATTCGGTTAACGATATTCTTACAAATATGTTTCGACATGCTTTGGCTTGCTCACCAGCTGGAAGATTAGTCCGCCAATACAGAAATCGGTTCTAGGGCTTACATTCGTTAAAATTGGAGTAAATATCAAGAAGTTTGTACTATTCAATAATTTTCCAAGTTTTATATTAAAATTTTTAGTCATTTTTACACTTATTTAACATAATTGCAATACAGGGACCTAATTTTTGGTGTGCCCAACAGCCACTTCACTCACCCACCAAGGCCTCAGTTTGTATCTCTGTTCAGTGGAGGAAACATCTTGCTTGTGGGTCTCTTGAACACAGAGTATTTTTACGTTTTTACAGTACAATTATTGATCATTCTGAAATTTATTTAACATATTGACAATATATAGTGCAGTGCAGTGTTGATTTAAAGAAAATAATCTTGACTTACACCAAGTGAACTTAAAATTTTATGGGTGAAATGACGGCATGAGGCATGGGGTAATTTCTCTTCCACCCCCTCTTCCTTCTCTTCTCCCTTCTCCTCCACCCCCACTTCTAATTCCCATCATCATCATCATCATCATCATCATCAACAACCAGGAGTCTTCTACATACACACCTCAAAGTAAGTGTACTGTACTGCATTTTTTTTTTTACTTAGTATGTTATTTTCGGTGAGCTGGAACCAATTACCCCAAATCCCATTGAAACAATGGTTTCGGTTAACGAACGACCTTCTAGAACGAACTGTGTTCGTTAACCGAGGGACCACTGTGTACTGTACTAGTAAATGTGAGGAATACCTGGTAACTAAAATGATTATAATAAATAAAGGAAAAAAAATTCTGCATTCCTATTTGGCAATTTTATCACTTGCATGAGACAGTAGAGCCACGAGGGTATGCTGCTCCCTCACTTTCTTGTGGTAGTTCCCACACATAATAATGTAAATGTTTAATCCTTTTAAGTTTTTGACCTTATGATAAATTTTTTGTTTTGCACATTCTTAATGAACAATTGTGTGTGCATGTAACAAAGAAAAGTATAGCTACCCAAAATTACGAGCTGAAACATAACAATAATGCAACTCACAGCTAGGCCGAGATCCTGATGCTGTATCCCCCACCCACTCCCAAGACTCTCAGCTAACTCTTTTTGTAAAAAAAAAATATATTCTCACTATGGTTTTGACGTTTGTACAGTATAATAATTTCTTTAAAATTTTTTATTTATCTATTTTTTGCACATTCTGTATGAAAGAATGTGTTTATGTACAGTAACGGTAAAAAAATGAAGAAAATTACATACAGGTATGTCTACCCCACACTTTGATGATTCCCACACACATATATGTTTATTCCTTTTGTTTTTGACCTTTTGGTAATTATTTGTTCTTTATTTATTTAATTATTTATTTACTATTTTTTGTTTGCATATTCTGTATTTAGGAATGTGAATGCATGTAACTGAATAAAAAGAAAGTATGAAGAAAGTTATGATTATATAGTTGAAATTATGAGTTGAGAAATAACCATAACATAACGCCTACCTCAGCCTGGTAAGGAGAGCGCTTAGGGGGATGTGGCCTGGCCGCCCCAGCTGACTCCCGTGGGCACGCAATTTAAGTTCGTATAAGTGGGGAAGCTGTCGAACACGAAATAATTATGTCAATTTAGGAAATTCGTACAAACAATTTTTCGTACCTTGAACCTTCGCTTCTCAAGGGATACCTTTACTACTGAACTCTGTTCATTCCCTGAATTTAAATTCTTTCAAAATGTTACATCCTCATATATTTTGATAGCCATTTTATTTTAAGTACTGACATTTGATATTCAGTTATACCAAAAATCAGTTATGAAATAAATTGTGTACAGTACTTGTACACCCAAAATTTTAATTAAAAGCATTTTCTATCATTTTGTGGGTTTTTTTATTTTTATATTTTTATATATACAGTGATCCCTCGGTTAACGAACGCCTGGTTAACAAAATTTCGGTTAACGAATTACCTTCCATAAGATTCTTCATTTCGGTTAACGAAAAAATTTCGGTTAACGAATTCCTTACGAATTTTTCCCAACACGTTTTTGCCTGCTTTTGCCTGCTCACCAGCTGTAGTATTAGTCCGCCAATACAGTAATCGGTTCTAGGGCTTAAATTTGTTACCATTTGAGTAAATATCAAGAAGGTTGTACTATTCAGTAATTTTCCAAGTCTTATATTAAAGTTTTTAAGTCATTTTAACATAATTGAAGTACAGGGAACTAGTTTTTAGTGCGCCAAACAGCCACTTGACTCACCCAAAATGGCGTCAGTGTGTGTCCCTGCTTAGTGGAGGAAGCATCTTGCTTGAGACTCTCTTGAACATAAACTATTTTTACATTTTTACAGTACAATGATTATTGGTCATTATTGGTCATTCTGAAGTTTATTTTACATATTGACAATATATAGTGCAGTGCAGTGTTGATTTAAAGAAAATAATCTTGAATTACACCAAGTGAACTAAAATTTTATGGTGAAATGGCGACATGAAGCATGGGGTGACTTCTCTTCCACCCCAATGCCTTCTCTTCTTCCTTCTCCTCCACCCCCATTCTAATTCCCATCATCATCATCATCAACCAGGAGCCTTCTACATGCACACCTCAAAGTAAGTGTACTTTGCTGCATTTATTTTTAGTTTGTATGTAATTTTCGGTGAGCTGGAACTAATTACCCAAAATCCCAGAGGCATGTATCTTATCTTTTATAATGGGATGTATGGGAAAATGTACTTATTATATGATAGGTTACTCAGAAACTGAACCCTTTGTAAATTGGGGAATTCTTTACCTGTATATATCTTTCAGAGCATGAAAATGGTGATGGCTTTGACTGTGACAGAGTCTGGGTGTGTGTACCATTTGAAGCGACCTGGGGCAGTCCTGAGTGCTGGAGATACTATTGCAAGAATGGATCTTGATGACCCATCTATTGTTACAAAAGCACAGCTTTTCACAGAGGGATTTCCCCCAAGCAAAACACCACTACCAAGGGAGGATGAAAAACTTAACCATATATACCAAACACGAAGAGCAATTCTGGACAATGTTCTCAATGGTAAGTATTTATTTATTTATTATTTATATCGTCAGTGGTAAAATTATATGATGTTTGTTCTTCTAGGCTTTATATATATATATATATATATATATATATATTATATATATATACAGCTAGACCCCGACTTACGACTGCTTGGACTTACGACCGCCGCAGTTGTGACCATTTTTTTTTCTTCAAATGACACGCATTTTCTATACCGAAACGTTTCCAGTTAATGTAGTCTCCATGTATAATTAGAAAATTATGGGGGCCCCATGTGCATTCAGCTGACTACATTAAAGGTAAGTGCTCAGTCACACTGTATCCATTCCTCATTATTTATTACTTTCACTGTACTGTATTTCATTGTATTTTTATTATTTTACTGTACTGTATTTCATTGTAGATTTACTGCGGCCTGGATTGGTCTAACGTCGTAAAAATCTAGATCTTTATATATATATATATATATATATATATATATATATATATATATATATATATATATATATATATATATATATATATATATATATATATATATATATATATATATATATATATATATATATATATATATATATATATATATATATATATATATATATATATATATATATATATATATATATATATATATATATATATATATATATATATATATATATATATATATATATATATATATATATATATATATATATATATATATATATATATATATATATATATATATATATATATATATATATATATATATATATATATATATATATATATATATATATATATATATATATATATATAGTATAAAGGTTATGTTGGAATGCCACCACATTACAGTGAAAATTACAGCTTTACATTTATTATTAGATATGAGTTGAAACTAATGATGACTAATATATGTGTTGCAAAACAAAAGGAAGAGTTCTAGAAATTGAAGTGGTTGTTCTGGCCATAAACAGGGCATGAAGGGAAGTATTAGTTAAGAGTTTTTTATAGTCACCAAGAACCTTGGCTATGTAAATAATCAAATACTATACTGTATACCTAACATCATACTTTTGAATCAAGAAACTTGTAAGAATATATTAAATGATTTGATCATAAAGATACCTTACTTCATAATCCTGTCCAGGGGCCGGATACTCAAAACGCCTCATAAGTTACGTAAATTAGCGAGATACAGTACCATATATTGCAGACTCCTCACAGTCCCTTAAATTTAGCATACTCAAAATTTTATTACAGTTCCTTAAGCAGTCCGTAAGTTATCATAACTCGAGTGTTTACCCTGTAAATTCAGTTCTCTTGTCGGAAGGTAGATGGCAGTGCAGGAGCTAGTTGGCCAATCAGCGCTCAGTTAACAAAATCATCAACCAATCACAAGAGAAGGAGAAATCAGCTGAGAGCGATTCACGTGATATTAGTTTGTAAACAAAAGATGGAAGGACAACCACCTGAAGAAACGACCAAATTTCAGTGAGACTGAAGTATGCTCCATGGTGTGTGAAGTCCCCAAAAGAAAGAAAATAAGTTTAGGGAAATTGAGCCTAGAACATGGTGTTTTCCTTTCAATGTTTGGGTCATTTGGTCTGAATTGTCTTCAAGTTCATACAAAAAAACAACAATTTAAAACCTGAAAATATATCTGATTATCCGTAAATTTTCTTAAATTAATACTCTACCCTATGATACTGTTCATGAAAAGTCTGGAACTAGACCTAAGGTAGCTGCTAGACAAAGTGTCTCACTGACAGCCTGACACTCCCCAAAAAACCATGTAGTATACATTTTCTAACCTAACCTAACATACCATAACATAAAATAACATAACCAAACCTAACCTATAACCTATTGGTTTAACTTCTTATTTAAATATTCCTCATGTTATAACTAATTGAGTAGGCCCCACGTTTAAACATTTATTGGCCTAAGAATGAAAAAAGGAGTTTTATATGCCCCTATTAATCAAGTTAATTGCAATCCATATTTTACGCATATCATTTAATTTTGGCTAACCTTTAGAGCCTTTCATGTTATCATAAGCCATACACATAAGAAAATAAGGCTAGGCTATTGGTTGCATATTAGAAAAACAAGGCGAAGTCTAGGCAGGAATGTTCACTTCACCTCATATTTGGCTTTCATTACTGAGGGATATTTTCGGCTATACAACATTAATAAGGTCTGTCTATAAGTTTACTCAGTCATAAAACATATTTTTGCCCTAAGTGTGAACAATACAAACCTTCTGTTTTGGTAAAAAATACTTTATAATTTGTAAGAAGACAAAAGATGCGTCTCTTCCAAACTGCGCCAAATACAAACACTCAAAGCCTCGTATTATTGCCAAAAAATTTTTACGAAAAAAAGAAACTGAAATACTATATTTCAGTATGTTGATGTACAAAACATTTTCTTCATTATTCTATGAGAAAACAAGTCTAATAAGCATTAATACAACATATATTATTATTATTTTTTATACAATCGGGAATTAGTGACTACTACATCTGGGTTGAGAGTGTTACAGAGCCTCAGGGGCTGGTGTAAGTTATGGGCTTTAACTTACGGAGTTCGATGTCAAATATTTGTTTTGCGTATACCGATCTGAGACTGTAAGTCCAGTTACGGGGTACACAAAGACATACAGTCCCATAAATGTTTGAGTATCCGGCCCCAGGTGTTTTGTTCACTCCATTCCTCCAGGTTTTGCTCATAATTCCAAGCTCAGCTGTAGCATCACCTGTTCCCAGATTTGATATACTGTACCTGTATCAAGAGAAATTAGAAGAAAAATCATTAAATGCTTAATCAGTCATATTTAGTTTGAATGAATGAAATTATAAAAAGAAAAGGATAGAAACATGTAAGTGTATACATTATATCTTGAAATACAGGTACTGTACTGTATTACAAATTGATTCATTATTAGAGAAGAGTTGAAGGATGGAACGCATGAAGTTTAATTGGAAGGTTTGAGGAAATAATTATTTTAGAATTAGAATAATGGAGTTTACTGTGAAAGTTTCAATTTAGTAGCAAACAAACCACATTGGAAAAGTTAGCTTTATGTTGTTATAATTTAGTTGAATAGAGAGTAGTTTCCAGAATTATAGAATATTATTTAATGGTAACTTGTTTCACACTAGAAAAGATTTTCAAGTACCATTGGCATTTAGAATATTCTTTACTATCTTTCAGGATACTGCCTACCAGATGACTTCTTCGCTCCTATGGTGAAGCTTACTGTTCAAAAGGTGATGAGTGTGTTGCGAGACCCCAACCTTCCACTCCTTGAACTGCAGGTATTAATTGTTCTACTGGAATGTGTAGTTCCTTGTTGTTATCATAGGTGTCAGTGTACCTCATCAGCTTAAGATGCTTATGTATGTCAATGAATATTTTCCTACAAACAAGTTTTTCTCTCCTATGCGTTATAGATATCATGAAAGACCTTATGTTGGTTAGTAAAACAAAATTACTTTTAAAATCAGTTTAAGAATACTCATTAATTTAAAATTAAGCTAGATTTATTATATCAGTTAAAAAAATTCTGTATCCAAGGTACAGTCTCGTTCAAGATTCTTAAAAAATGGCTGGAGACAGCTGACAACTCAAGGCCATTTGTTTACTATAGTACGTAGTGAAAATTATGAATGAATGTAAAAGTGACCGGTGATTGGTTACTGAGTTCCCCATTACTAAATTAATGGTTGGGATTTGTTTCGTATTATATTATACTACGTACTATAGTAAACAAACGGCCTTGAGTTGCCAGCTGTCTCCAGCAGTGTTCGAAGAATCTTGAATGAGACTACCTGTAGTTGATGACTATAACTTAAAAAATGTGATGATCACATTGAGACATCAACTTAACTGTATTTATTACCCATTTTCTTAATTTTACAGGAAGTTATCTCCTCTGTCAGTGGAAGGATACCTCAAGCTGTAGAAAAGAAAATACGAAAGTACATGATGATATATGGCAGCAATGTGACATCCATGTTGGCACAGTTCCCTTCACAAGAGATAGCAAGTGCTGTTGACAGGTCTGAAAATTTACTTATGTATGAGAATGTAGATAGAACTAGGAGTATGTATCATAAAAGATGACCAAAAAGAGGTTAGGTTGAAGGTGAGAATATTCTGAAATTGAATGTTATGCTTACTGCAATGATGTATTGAAATTTAATTGTTTCTCTGCCTACAACTATCTGTACCTTCCTACAGTGAGTGCTCTCCCTTTATCCAGTAAGGTGGAGAATTGCAGTCTTCTTGTGCCATTATATCCATATGCATTTGTACATACCCCATCACATGCACCTGTCCCCTCCCCTTTATCCATACTCTCAATCACTTTGTCCTTCCTTTCCATAACATATTTATTTATTTATTTTTTTTAAGACCACTTTATTTTTTACAGTCATGCTGCATCTCTGCAGAAGAAGGACCGTGATGTATTCTTTGTAACAACACAGGTATTAGTTCAGCTTTGCCAACGCTACAAAAAAGGAAGTCGTGGCCGTATGACACAAGTTGTACAGGAACTGCTAAAGCACTATCTACAAGTTGAGACACAGTTCCAGCATGGTATGTACTGGCACATGACCAGCATTTTTGTCTAATAACATTGTCTTAATACTGTATCGATGCCTGTGTTCATTTGTCCGTTCATTCACAAAAGTTATGCAGTACTCACATATTGTCTATAGTATTTAACATATAATGTAGGTAATTGAAGGACAGTGTACAGGCACACCTGTATTTGCAATGGGATTGGTTCCTGAAAACTCATTGCAAGTCGAAATATTGTAAATCAGGTTCATTATAACATGGGGTCCAGTGGAATAGGTTCCTGGCCAGTCGGACACCCACATGTATCGCCCCCAAAAAATCCTAGAATACAACTAGCACTAGAACACAATTAAACAACACTCACCACGTCATTAAGAACAATTCTAGTCATCGTCACTTGTCCCCTTCAAGGTTAAGGGAACTCGTAGGTAGAGAGGAGACATCAACCCGAGTCCCGCACAGACATTGGGGAGTCTGAAGAGCGGGGACCTGAGGTGTATCTTTCGTCATGGCCTTAAAGATGGTGAGCAAAACACTTGCCAGACATTTTCAAAGTTACGCTACTCACTTCACAGTTACAAAAACTTGATAATAATGACGGGGACTCGATTCTATTATAAAAAAAATGTAAGAAATGTTGTGATGGGGGTGTGGTAGGGGATTAGTGGGTCTCATGATACTGACCTGACCTGGTCAATGTCAGGTGGAGGGGGGTGGAGGATTAGTGAGCTGATGCATTGTCAGGGTGGGGGATTAGTGTGGCCTCATGATAAGAGTTCTTGAATAAAGACGAAAGCTAAGTAGCAAATATGTTATTGCTAGCAAAAAAGGGTATAAACTTTTATTCACAACATCTGCTCTAATTGTGTTAGATAAATGAATTTGGTCCCATTGCAAATACTGTATGGAGATGCATTCCTGATATTATTTTTTACCTATGAGATATATACAGTATTGTATATGAAGGGTACAATTATTAATATGCACAGATTATTACTGTACTGTACCATATATTTACTAATTAATGAATAAACACTACTATATAATGAATGAGTTATAGTAGAATGGGTGATATGCACTGGATAGGAGGTGACCGTTTTGGGGATGCCTGCAGTCACTTTCTATCCCCCAATGGTCATTTCCTCTTCTCCCTTCCTCCTAATGTCACGGAATCTGTTCTAATTGTGTTAGAGAGATGAATGTGATACTATAATGATCCTGAATAAATTCTGGACCAAACTTTTCCAATAGAAGATCCTTAAACTAAATATTTTGACAACTTATAATAATGGACTCAATTCTTTTATGAAAAAATATATAAGAAATGTTGATACCAGAGTCTATAAGATCATTTCTAATTAAGTTAGAAACATCATTTTATACTAAAACAATCCTGAATAATTTATCTATAAGTTTGGTTAAAGAAATCTATTAAAAAGCTAAAAATATATATGGTGCGAGCGTGTGAGGTGCCTCATGAAGGAAGTTGTGTGTATGTGTCACAGTGGAATTCTCCATTGTTTTCCCGAGTCTAAGCGAAGTATCTCACACGGACTGATGCAAGAGCTTTATTTACACAAACACCACTGTACACACACACTATAGTATAAATAAACAAAATAATGTACAGGTACTGTATATAATTGTTACTACTTTACTGTCATGCCTACAGTATTAGTATACTGTCCAATCTCCTGAATGTAATACGTAACTGTATTCACTTTTTATGTCTTTTAACACTTGTGATGGGGGTGTGGTAGGGAATTAGTGGGTCTCATTGTATATAAACTCTTCTCTCATTTGTGGTGGAGGGATTAGTGATCTCATATTATTGACCTGATGCATTGTCAGGTCACCCATAGTTGAGGTGGGGAATCAGAGTGAAAGCACTTCACAGCCACTAGAACAGAATGCAATGTGAACTTTAATGATGCCCTCACGTTATAAGGTAAAAAAAGGATCGATAAACCTTGAGCTCCATTTCTTACATGTAACCAAGAAGAAACAATGCTTGAAATGTAGTTCACCAGATGGCCACGAGGCGGCGTTTGGGTAGATGACGCCTCCGCTGACAAATGAATTGAGTTATGCGTTCCATATGCTGACTTGGCGGGACGATGAATATCGTTTGTACGAGTTTGTTTACATTGTAAATAGGGACTTGTCTTAATATACAGTGACCCCTCCGTTAACGAACGCAATCCGTTCCAGAAGGTTGTTCGTTAACCGAAAAGTTCGTTAACCGAAACCATTGTTTCAATGGGTTTTTGGGTAATTGGTTCCAGCTCACTGAAAATTTCCTAAATTCAACAAAAATGGTGGAAAAGTTCACTTACTTTGAGGTATGTATGTAGAAGGCTCCTGGATGATGATGATGATGATGATGATGGGATTTAGAATAGGGGTGGAGGAGAAGGAAGAAGAGGAGGCATTGGGGTGGAAGAGAAGTCACCCCATGGCGCCATTTCACCCATAAAATTTTAGCTCTCTTGGTGTAATTCAAGATTATTTTCTTTAAATCAACACTGCACTGCATTATATATTGTCAATATGTAAAATATATTTCAAAATGACCAATAATTTGCTTGGAAACACAGAAAAAAGCGTTTAGTTGAAGAGAGTCTCAAGCAAGATGTTACCTCCAGTGAAAACAGAGAGAGACTAACTCCTGTTTGCTGTGTTAAGAGGCTGGATGCCGTGCATTAAACTAGTCACTTTACCTTCAATTATGTTCAATAATTGTTAAAATGACTAAAAAATTGAATATTAAACTTTTAAAATTATTGAATAGTATAAACTTCTTGATATTTACTAAAATAGTAAGGAATTTAAGCCCTAGAACCGATTAATGTATTGGCGGACTGCCCGGTCAGTGCAAGCGAAAACATGTTGAGGTCGGTTCGTAAGAACTTCGTTAACCGAATTTTTTTTCGTTAACCGAATTGAAGATCCTTATGGAAGGCAGTTCGTTAATCGAAATTACGTTAACCGAGGTGTTCGTTAAACGAGGGGTCACTGTATTGGCATCATTAATGCAAATAATTGTAGATTGGGAGATTGTAAATAAATGTTTACCTGAAAATCTTTTATACTAAGTTAACTACAGTCAGTTCTGCTATAACGCGATAGTTGTGATCTTGTAAAACATCATGTTATAGAAATTCGCGCAATAGAAATAACAGGGCTTATGGAGAAATAGGGTTAGGTGCAGATTACTCGAAATTGAAAAAAAATTTAGTAGTTAGCTTAACACAAAGGATAGCACAGTCTAAATAAATGTTACATTCATATCTAATAATGAAATCATACAGTAAATGTAACACTTTACCTTGAAAAAATATGAATATAACTTGATGGGGGAGAAGGGTGATTTTTAGGTTGATAACATCGAGCTTCTCTTCAAGTGTTATAGCCTTTCTTTTACGATCATCACCGGGAATGCGATCACCAGAACGCTTCTTGGAGATATTCTTCTTTACCATATTCACAGTTAATAACACAAAATTGGAGAAATAGTAAGCAAAAATCGCGTTACAGCAAACGAGCGTTCGCGTTTTACAAATATCATTCCTCTATTCATAAATCACGTTAGAGCCAATTCGCATTGTCAAAGCACGCGTTATAGCAGAACTCACTGTACACTCCTTAACAGGAGTTGCTGCTGAATATTTTTTTTTACCCTTTTAACCTTATTTTATCATCTTGAGGTCATACATCACATTTTACATCTTTGGCAGAGGATGTTCCTGGAGGTAATTATTTTTATTTTTTTCACTTTAGAATGTATTCATACACATATTGATAATTTTCATCCTGTTCACCAAAGACATAGTGTTTTTATATATAATTACATACCATACAACTTTACAGGATCTTATGACAAGTGTGTTCATGCTCTTCGAGAAAAATACAAGGAGGATGTGACCAGTGTACTTTCTACCCTCATCTCACACTCACAAGTTGCAAAGAAAAACCAGGTTGGTATCATTACTGAAGGTAATGTGTTGTGATATTCCTGAGATAATTGAGGAATATGATACTTTTGGTCATCTCCTAGAAGAGAAATTACCAGAGGTTCTGAGGCTGGTATCATAAATGTGGATGATTTAGTACGGGAGTCTCAAAATTGAATGGCATATATTTCATATTGGAAAAAGCTACAATAAAATGCCTAAACACGGAATATTAGTAAGAGAGAATGTTATGGTTCTGTGGTAACATCAAATTATAGGTAGACTTTTTGATTCATTAAGAATTTGTATTTTCTTTCTTGATAGATGGTGATTCTACTCATAGAGCATCTCTGTGGTCATGAACCTGGTTTGACAGATGACCTGTCATCCATCCTGGAACAACTCACCAAACTCAACAGCAGTGAGCATTCTCGGGTTGCTCTACGGGCACGTCAGGTAGGTCTTGCTCCACACTGGTTATAAAACGAAAATCTTTCTTAAATACTGTGTTTAGTTCTTATGGAACTTGAAATTGGACTGTGTAACACTAGGTAATACCAAGAAGCTAGCAGTGCAGATTGTGGTAAATAACTTTTAGGCATTTGACCAGGAGTTCTGTTATTGATACTATTAGTAGATTTTCCCAACAATATGTTTCTCTATTCTTCAGTTTTTGTGGCTTTGAATTTCTGTTGTCAGTTATTGACCACATTTAGGCTATTAATAGAGTATTGAAGCATAAAAATTCCTAATTTTAGCTGAAGGGTGAAGAATAATGACCTATATTCCTTTTCTCCAAAGGTTCAAAATTGGCAGGGACTGCAAAGGTCAACCCATGTATCTTGTATTTTAACAGAATGTCTTAAGCAAGTGTAAGGTTTCAGTCCAGTAATCTTGTCGACTGGCTCTCGAGTCAATCACACGGCGAGTTCAAATTAGTGATTTTTATCCTATTTTTTGGGGGGAAGGAGTTGTTTTGCTATTGACACTGGTCCATTGGACAGTGTAGCCTTACCACTGAAACATTTTACGAACCTGGACTCAAGCAGGTGTTGGCAGGAGGTATTCTAGTTGAGGTATCTCAAATCACACTTTTCCTCTTCTCTGCTATAAATTGGAATTTAATGTTTATTTTATAGTTGTTAATCTCAAGAACTATAGTAGTAATTGATGAGAAAATTTGTGCATATGATGCAGTGTTTTGGCAGTTTATGTATTAATGTAAATGTTGCCCCATTAAAGAACATGTTGTGAGATATTTGAACGAGTGGATTTTTATTACAAAAGTTGTTATATGTAAATAGTCTGGAATTTTTATTCCATAAACTGTATAAGTATATATAAATATTGTTTTATGGTTGCAAGACTATGTGGACCTCATGTTCTTCCAGTATATCCTTTTTTTCACTTGGTTTTAGGTTAATATATTCTCACAATGCATTACAAGTGTTTAATTTCTTCTAATAAATCTAACTATTACTGACAGGTGCTAATTGCAGCTAACCAGCCAGCATATGAACTACGCTACAACCAGATGGAATCCATCTTTCTTCCAGCAATAGACATGTATGGTCATTCCTTCCATCCTGAAAATTTGCAGAAGCTGATCCTGTCAGAAACTTCAATCTTTGATGTGTTACATGCTTTCTTCTATCATACCAACATGGCTGTTAGAATGGCTAGTTTAGAGGTATGGATGCAATCTATTTGCCTTTCTGTTGGTATAGTATTATTAATACCCATGGATTTTGGTGACATCTGCATATTTAGTTGAATGTTTGTCATTCCTGAGCATTCAGAAAATTTGGAAAATCATGAAATAATAATTAAAGGCTAAAAAACTTAATGAATGTTGATTAAATGTTGCCTTGGTTTTAATATTGAAATTAATGTACATGATAAAATTAAATAGTTTGGCACTTGGTTAGTACAGTATACAGTTTTATGGGTCTTCATTACAAAGCTATTTGTTTTGTGTGTTTTTTTTACACCAAATTTCCCCTGTGAAAACTTTCATATGGCAGGAGGTGCCTGGGAGGATAGCCTTCATAATGCCTTACCTAAACAGGCCTTTCAGGTCTATTCCTTTCATTTTGTTGTCTCATGAGAACTTTGCCAATTCTTTACTTTTCTAGAGGAGTGATATGTGTGTGTGGTAGGAAAAAGATCTAAGATATGATTTTTCCCTGTTAGGTTTATGTTCGTCGTGCTTACATCAGCTATGAACTGACGTGTTTACAGCACAAAGAACTGCACGGAGGAGTGTGTGTTGTGTTCTTCAAATTTTTACTTCCTTCTTCACATCCCAATAGGTAAGAGTCTCTGTTAATTAATGGGTAAAAATTCTCAAGGAATACCATAAAATGTTTAGAGAAGATGTAGATAATTCTGGATACTGGAATATTTTTAATATTTTAGTAGTACAGTAAGTCCTCGCTTAATGTCGGGGTTACATTCCTAAAATCGTGACGTTATACGGAACAAGGTTAAGTGAATAAATTTTCCCTATAAGAAATAGATAAAATACAGGAGTTACATTCCTAATCCTCCCTTTGACCCATGAAATACATTACATATACAGAAAATCATTGCCACTTCTATAGAAAATAGTGCATACATTTACAACTACAGTCCTAAGTTTGTATTGGTACTCACCGATGGGCGGAGGTGGTAGAGTGAGTGTGTGGTGGGTAGTGGAGCGGAGGAGGTGGGAGGGGAGGAGGAGGGTGGGAGCGGAGAATGAGGGTGGTGAGTCACTAAGACTGCGACGAGCCAAGAGAGTGTAGCGCGGCCAGACGAGAGAGGGTGATGCGAAGTAGAAAGTAGTCCGTGACAACGCAAAACGACATAGTATCGGATCACCAGGACGTTAAACACATTTTTGATCTCGGAAGTTTAGCGACGTAGTAATGAAACAACGTTAAGCGGGACAATTTTAAGCGAGGACTTACTGTAGCACTCATTTATGAGTCTGGAAAGCCATTGATGGATGTAAATAAAACAAAGGTGTAGATTATGTATATAGTACTGTACTGTAGTCTACACATTTTTAATGTATTGCATTTTATTTGTATGATTTAAACTGTTATAGACAGGTTAAATTCTATGTGGATGCTCCGTAGTACTCTGAGCTAGGTTATGCTTATTTCTATTGGTGGTGGTTGTTGTTGTTGACAGAAAGAGGCACGGTAGTTACAGAGGTGTCTCATAATTAGATGGTAGTTAAAATAGGTTCATGTATTACAAAAGCCCATTGTCACTAGAACTTGTAATCTTTGTTTACCACACAATCAACAGTGTCATGTTTTCTTAGAATAAGGATTGCCTTAAGTTATTTCCAAATATTTTCATCATACAAATGGATTACAAAACAGCTAAATATGGTCTTGTGTGTGTTTAAATAGTATACTTTTCTTAATAATGAAAGTAAGCAAGAGAAAATGGAAATTAAAAGATTGAACATTTTTGCCTTATGATTATATAAAAGCAAATACTGTATGTACAGGTATAAATATTTATGCTCCTGGAATATATACGTGAACATTAGGAGAGGAAAATGGTGGCACACAGAAAAGTTGCACAATATGTGAGTGGCATTGAAAAATTTGATAAATTGCTTGGTATTAGCCATGAGCCTTGATTATCCATACACACAGGTAGCTATACCTAATAAGGAATTGTGTATGTGATAAATAATAAATGTCCAGGAGTGCATTGTCACCCTGGTTGGAGTTTAATAGTCTGCATGAACCACATCTTCCAGAATACCTCACAACAAGATGTGGAGTACATTGGAGTATACTGACCCACACCATACCCCCATTGACCCACCAGCCAATTTGGAAAACTGTCAACGCATGGGAATTATGGCTACCTTTAAGAACTTTGGAGATTTTGAGATCTACTTCAGTGACTTAATGAATTTCTTCCAACCTTGTGATCTTGGAGGACTGGAGGGAGAGATGAGTCCCCAGGAACTCCTGAGTGGTTCTATCAAGCTTGGATCCTCATTCAAGGACTTCATGTCTGAAACTCAGGTATGTCTGAAAGCATGAAAACTTTCCTGTATGAATATTATATTGTTGCCTATTTCCTATGTATGAAATATTTTGTGAACATTTACAATTATTGTGTTTACTATTTGCTCCGCATTTTTAAATGTAAATCATAGCTTCAATGCAGGCCCACCTTCATGCCTTTTTGTTACCTACTCCTCTGGGTAAGGAGCAGCACTTATTTCTAAAATTTTTCATGGATCTTTTTTTTTTTCTCATTGTATTTTGGATGAAAATTTTCCAGATAATGTAGTTATCTGAGATTTTCAGATACTATTTTGAATTTTCACAAATAAGGTGTAACTGTATTTTATGGTTTTTAAAGTTTGTAGGTGGTTTTGTGACTTGACTCTTCTTTTATTTGCATTGTTTTAGTTAATATTTCTTGTAATTTCAGGAAACCATAGACCCAATACATATTATGAATATTGGTATACGCATGGAAGAAGAGAACAACGATTCCGAGCTAAGTGAACAGTTTTCAGTTTTCTGTGCCAGCAAGAAGAAGGAGTTCCATGAAGCAGGCATCCGGCGCATTACCATGGTGGTTTTCTACAAGCAACAATTCCCAAGATACTTCACATACAGGTATGCATCTCATTTTTTCTGATTGTCCATTATGACTTTGATTATTTAACAATGATCAAAGTCGATACTGTATCCAAATATACAGGGTACCCCATTTTTTGTTTGAGCCAATCTATGTATTGGTATGTGATGGTTGTCTGATATCAGTTGCAATTTATGATTTACAGTGGTGTTAGAAATTAAACTTTTTGGGTTACAGTACTAGAAGTATTTCTGATTAATTTATGAGAAGGTTGACTGTTTTCATTTATGTTGTACAGGTAAGACAGGTTATGCAGTAAAGTTGCAATTAATTATTCAATAATGTAAAAGTGTTAACAGAATACAGTAGTCTTTTTCTTAATTTGCCAACTTTATTTAACAAAAAACTATATTAGTCGTCACTGCTGCCCCATTTGCATTAAGGAAATTTATTTTGTCCTTTATTATTTCAAGCATAGATTAGATTTTTTCTTTTCATTCCTGGAAGCCTTTTTCTGCAACCAAATGGGGTGACCCAGAGTAGATGATATTAAGTCTATTCTTTGGTGCAGTGTTTTTGCTGAAAGGTGCCATCTAACATAGATGGAAATCTGATGCCTGAGTAACTATTGTGTACAGTGCTGTTAATATAGGTTGCTTTTAGTTACTTCCTTACATAATAAAGCAGACATGTTACATGCCAGGATGTGAAATAGATGATTTTTTATTTATTTTATTTTTATTAATTTTTTAATTTGATAAGTTAGTGGTATATAAAATTCAAAAGTATTAAGTCGAACAAATATCCTCAATGCTATTTACTTCTTGTCCTTAACAATTAGTAGAGCATAATGGAAGGTGTTTTCTCTGTATAACACGTTGAAGCAGACAAAAGTATAGTATATACCTTAATATGATTTATTTTATTCGTTAAAGTACATATTAAAGAGTTTGATATAAACATTTATATTATGGAATGTATCCAATCCCTGTAGGCCAATATAAAAACAGCAGAGGTATCATATTTTATTTATAATCAATAAAAAAACACAACTTGTAGGGTTTCTCATCTAGAATTCTGTCGAAACTTCTGCTCACTTAAAATGTATTCCTTTATTTACCACTACTATATATTGACAGGTTCTTCCCAGATCCATTCCTCTACTGAGTTATCTTTTAATCTTTTCCCTACATTCTTGTTTCTCAATCTATACATGACATTTTCTTTTCAAGTTATAGTATGTCCAGCATTTAGAAAGAAGTTTAGGAGTGGCAATGGTTTTGTTGTTGTTGTTGTTGTAGATAAAATCATCAACTGAACTGTTTAATTTTCAGATGGTAAAATAACAAAGAACTAGATGAGTAAAAACTTTCAAGATATTACAATAGGTCGTTTAAGGTTGGATGTGGTGCTTATATGATGATGCCAGGTTATGGACAGCAATAGGGATAAACCAGATAATAGTTGGAGCCTTGTTTTAGGAGAGCATATCTGTTAGAGTACAGTAGTAGTTAGAGTAATAAGAAGTGAATGTCAACCCTGCGGGAATAGGATTGAAAGAGTGAAAGGGAAAATGGGTAAAAATCTGGATGTGCAAATATGTAAAACACAACATCACAGTACAGTACAGTACAGTATAGTGTTGCAGAATGAGAAAAAACATGGAAATAAGTTTTCAGTTTGATATAACAGTATTCATATCTATTTTATCATTTAGTACAGTATATGACAATTGTTAAATAATGTACAGTAGCTAAAACAACTACCTGTGCATACTTTGTGGGAAACAATATGAGACCATAGATGATAAATTTTGGTATATGAGGGCTGTCACTAGTCACACATAAAATTACAGAGCATTTTGACCCCCACCTGCACAGATAGTTGTTTTAGCTACTGTACATGTCACCTGTATCAATTATATACTGTTGTAAATTGATGATTATTGTGAATATTTATTAAAGGGAACTCAAACCTTAGGAGGTATTTTTAAAAAGGAACTGAAAATTTGTATTATCAATTTTAAATCTGTAGGACATTAAAACTTCAAATCTTTATGTGCACGCATAAAGTGCAACATATTGGTACAGTCCACGCCACTTATAAGCCAAACAGACCAGCAACTTTGCTGGGTACATACCTCCTGAAACATACAAACCAGGCAAGTAATCAGTGGTCTGCCACATTGTAAAGTTAATGCTTAGCCCTGAACACATTAGTATGGATAGGTTTTAGAAACAGTAAAAAATTTCATTTTGAAAGTTATTTATCCATGCTAATGTGTTCAAGGGTAAGTGTTGACTTTGCATTGGAGTTGGAAATTTTAAAATTAATTTTGGGGCAAAAAAATAATCTTGCTTAAAATCCTAGTACAGTACTGTACTTTATAGGTATTCCTTGGCATGGGGATTAAAGGTCTGTGTTCAAAAAGTTGAAATTCTGGTAATTAATTGTTCTGAAAGTCACGTGAGGCTAATATTGTCAATATTGATCCAGTACAGCAACGGGCATCATGGAGACCACAAGTAAGCCTTCTGCGGGTCTTGCTGATAGCGACAGTGTGTCACCTACCCAAAAGAATTTGACTCGGAAAGTGTTGTTACGATTTAATCGTACATATAAAGTATTAGTGTATCAATGTTATTGGATGTCACATCAAAGGATTATGGAAAAAGTAAAGAAAAATGCAGCTTATGGCAAGTTGTTAATTATTCTTGAAGAAAGTAAGAAAGATGTGGTTAAAAAATAATTGTGAAAATCACTTGGTTTCACCACTTATCTTGTTCAGCAGATTTGTATGAGTGTATTTCTGTTGCTTAGTAAGCCACTCCTTCATCCACCGCTTCCATTTATGTTTTGTTCTAATGCAAAAGTCAAGATTAAACCTACACAAACTTTATGAGCTGATGTTTTTGTCTTCAATCAATTGGCGACTGGTTGACAAGATTGGGTGACATATTGAACGCATATGGAGACTATTGACAATTAAATATTGTCAATAAATATTGATCATGTAAGGCATCCTTAAGAGTTGACTTTACACCTTGGCTGACAACCGAGGCTACCAGTCTGTATGGCTTATAAGTGGCGTGGACTGTGCAGTACAGTATACTGTATATGTACTTTATACACATACATTCTTTGTGCCACATGGCTGTTGTAAGTCATAAAATATTTTGGTCAGCTTTTCTTTGTGTGTGTGTGTGTGCATGTGTGCGTGCACGTGTGTGTGCATGTGTGCGTGCATGTGTGCGTGCACGTGTGTGTGTGTGTGCGTGCACATCTTTTGTAGATTGTCCCTTAGCATCTCCTGAGTATGACTGACAAGAAGCAGTCAATCTATAGCTGGATTGAACATTTCTGGCTTGATTAGTGCATGTGGAAAGGAGTTTGACATTTACAGCTCAACTTCTTAAATTTGATATGTATTTTTTATTATTATTGTTTGTGGGCTAAAGTTATTTCAGGAGGTCTCAGGACACCAAAACTATTTCACACCCTGCATGCTGAATTATATTGATAGACTTCTTTACTAAAGGCTTTATGTATATATTTTCAAATATTTGCACAAAGATTTTCTGTTGGTTATCTTCATATTTAGTGTGAAGATAATTAATTAATGGTAATTGTTTATAATTAATGCTTGCTGATGCCATAACCAATTATTTAAAAACATTGCCATGGGCATTATGTTTATTAAAATTTATTTTCTATTATGAAGTTTTCAAAGTGGTAGACATTTTTTTTCACTTGTACATAATGAGAATAGATAACTTTTTCAATTACAGTACATTGCATATTGAAATTACAATAATATGAGCAAATCATATGTGGAAATTGAAATTCAGTTTATTAATTTAAATTAAACTTGAATCAGAAAATGTTTGTCTCCGTCATTCAAAATTTAATTATAATCGTTATTGATTTTTTCTGTTAACCTTGATTTTAAACAAATGAAGATGGAGAGGATGGCTTCTGTATATCGCAGCAGGTTTGTAGGTGTGACAGTTTTTTTTTTTTGCTCTTGTGTAACATATTTGCCTAGCGTATTATTAGCTGTGCAATTTTTGGCCCCTATGCATGGGGCCTTATTTGAATTTTAATGCAACTTTAACATTATAATAATTTTAGTAATATCTTTAGCTAACTTTTTCTTTTGTGATCTCATAGTTCATATCAGATTTTAAAGTGAATTGTGAGGTAGAGATTTGGCTGCTGATGTATCTGTCTTTGTCTTCTACCACAGACCAATGCATCTGTTGAAACACATTGCCAAACCCATTGATTCAAGGTATGATGGACAGACTCATCAGGTGTGGCAATTAATTAGCCACATCTTTCTGTACTAATAATTGCATCTGTAAAATTGCTAGTGCTTGGAGTATTGTTATTACACTTTATGGCTTCAGTGCTCACAATCTTTCAGCTGCAGCTGCCACTTAAGATCACTTACAGGTGTAATTTTGATTTTTTTTTTCATTCTTGTCCAGTTTTTACATTCACAATTTATTTTTAGTTATTTTATTATTTTTTAAAATATTTGTTGTTGTCATTCAAAACTCTTGGTATTTCCATATCTTTATATTTTTTAGCCTTTTCCTGCAATAATGCAGAGCAGGGCAATTCACCTCTTACTTTTCTATCCATGAAAATATTAATTTAAGTTAATATTACATTTCATATACATGCCCACACTGGGAGTCAACTCCCCATTCCAAGCTCTTAACACATTCTTCACTCTCAACACATCCTCTTCTTTTTCGGGTCACTCATTATTCTTCAATATGTTACACTGTATGAGTCACAGTTCTCACAGTGATGACAACACTATACTGTACCTTCCTAGTTATGCTCTGTAAACTTAATCCTCAATGATTTTTACAACCATTCTCACCACTTTCTTTTACACCGGGGAATTAAAGAAGATTTTTAACATTCTTTTGGCACTCTTCCCTCTGTTATACAAAACATTTTTATTCTTGTCATCCTTTGTCACTTATTTACATCCCTTAACATTTCTACAGTGGTTCCATCTACACTTGGCACCCTCCCACTCTTAAGCATTCTTGCACCATGTTGTCTACTTTGTTTTTTGCAATATGTATACACTTTTCATTCCCTTATAACCCATTCGGAGTAATTATACATATCTAGTACAGTTGTGGGCAAAACTTTGCTCTCCATGGTCAACTGAGTCACTGGAACAAGTCTCCGAACTTACTTAACCTGACTGTCGTCTTGTGTGGGTGTGCTGCTTTATCTCATTTGGGGTCGATACTGTTTCGGTTTGGGAGGGAACAAACTTTTGACCCCAACTGTGCATTCAACACTTGTTTTCTGTATACAGTATACATTTAAATTTCTCTGTGTATTTATTTGTATTTTATGTGTTTTCTGTATTTAATTAACTCAAATATGCAATTAGGATGCATAAAAGCCTGGGGATATATGTACTGCTTCTATGATCTGTAGGTGTATTGGTGATCTGGCAGACTTGGTATATGCAGCTGAAAGGTTACTCTTTTGAGCACATAAGATGTTGGGGATTGCTGCATGCTCCTGGTACGTCTGTTATTCTTAACATATTTTTAGTTGTAATACATACTGTATGTCATATTGGATTATATTAAGTAAGTGGAAGGGATAGATGGCAATGGATATTCTCATATGAAGATTTTAGTAATAAAGGCTGAATCATTATAACACACAGTGGCCAAGGAGGAGTTTTAGATAGTGTAGTTCTGAGTTACAAAGTTCAGGTTTACAAAAATTCTAAATTACGAAACAAAAATTTGCCCCAGGTTTTGATTTATGGAAGAAAAATCTGAAGTTACAATCCCACCAAACACACACACAGAACATGTAATATACCGGGGTACTTCTGTCTGGTTATATAATAAGTTTCTGCAAATGTCTATACAGTCAGTTCTGCTATAACGCGATAGTTGTGTTCTTGTAAAACATCGTGTTATAGAAATTCGCGTAATAGAAATAACAGGGCTTGTGGAGAAAATAGGGTTAGGTGCAGATTACTACTCGAAATCGAAAAAAATTTAGTAGTTAGCCTAACACAGGATAGCACAGTCTAAATAAATGTTACATTCATATCTAATAATGAAATCATACAGTAAATGTAACACTTTACCTTGAAAAAATATGAATATAACTTGATGGGGGAGAAGGGTGATTTTGAGGTTGATAACATCGAGCTTCTCTTCAAGGGTTATAGCCTTTCTTTTACGATCATCACCGGGAATGCGATCACCAGAACACTTCTTGGAGATATTCTTCTTTACCATATTCACAGTTAATACCACATTATTGGAGAAATAGTAAGCAAAAATCGCGTTACAGCAAACAAGCGTTCGCGTTATACAAATATCGTTCCTCTATTCATAAATCGCGTTAGAGCCAATTCACGTTGTCAAAACACGCATTATAGCAGAACTCACTGTACACTAATTTATTTCATTATTCTCCAATACTCCCAATGTTAAGTCAACAAATAAACTTTCAGCTTGTCATCATTCACCTTCATTCACCATACAATTGACTGTACTTCTCAAACTCAAGTGAGTACAAGAAGACACGGCACTCACACACCACCAATCCACCATGCACACAATCACTGAGCCAGTTGCCTGATTGTTAATTTCTCCTCATTTATTATCACATGTGGAAAATTAAGTACAAGAAAATTTTATTTTATTCTTAAATTTTGTAGTCAATATGCACAATAGAATTGTTTAGAATTGTAAGAGAAAGTGAGGTATTTGAAAGTGAAAAAAGTTTTGGAAGTGTGGACACTGCTGACAATAAACAAAAGGTGATGGAGTAACTCATCAGGGGTTGAGCATGGGTGTATGCAGAATGAGAATTTAGAACTGCTCATATCTTGTGTAAAGTAGATTACAATATTCTGAAAAGTAGATTCTTAGTTGGCATATATTATTGTATGAAGTTGGGGGAATCGGTCAAAACTTGAGATTAAAGAAGGTTTTGTGTGATAACCTTTGTATAGTAAGTGATGCTGGAAAATGTATAAGAGGAGAAGGATAGGTCGAAAGAAATTACAAGAGATGCATGATATACTGTACTGTAATGCTGTAAAGGATGGGAGAAAGGGGATAGTTTGAAAATTTCAACTTTTTGGTGTGAGAAGGAGTTGTTACTTAGTATACTGGAGGTCATAGTTGCCATTCAGATGAATTTGGTAGGGTGAGGGAATGACGGCACTTTTGGATTGATTTGGGTATACTGTATGTATAAGGAAAGGATTTTTTCTCCCCTAATACAATATTCTTTTATCTCTCCTTTTATCATTTAGTTAAATGTGATTTATTATTACATTTCTTTTACAGTAATTTTTTATTTACTTCAGCTTATTGAGACACAAGGATTGTTTACTAATGATTATTACAGTATAATATTATAAGGATTTTTTGTTATCCCTCTCTCAGCATTATAAATTGAGAGACCTGTAAATTGACCAAAAACTCTGTTTTAAGACAGCCTGAAGACCCCACAGTAGGCATGGGGAGAGTTTTCTTAGGTAGTCACCCTCAAGTTTCTTACAGAACATTACAGTAAAGCCTCTGATAACAGAGGTTCAACCAACAACTTTTCATATTTAAAACCCAAGTTAATTTAGGACCCAATTCAATTTACATCCTTATTTCATTCTTATTTACGACCAAAATATAATAAAATAAAATAAAATTACATTTTCATATAAATAATAACTAAATCCCGATATGTATTATTAAAAAAAAAATTACTGTAAAAAATGAAGAGCGCCTTGCACAAAGAAGCTGCCTGAGTGGTAAGCAACAGTCGGAGCTTGGCGGGCCTTTTGTTTCACGCATCTGGAACAGGGAGAAAAACTTTCTCAAGTTTCTCACAGTATTTTTGCATCCCTATTCAACATGAGCAAGAGAGCAAGTGATGGTAGTGTTGGTTCAAAAGCTAATAGAAAGTGTATAAGCTTAGCCGAGAAACTAGATGTGTTAAAACGATATGAAAAAGGTGAGAGGTCAGTGGATATTTTCTGAAGTGGATCCATTAACAGAACAAAGCGTTAAAATTTAAATAAACTCAAATGACCTCTACATAAGGATGTATAATGAGAAAAAAAAAGCAGGTGTGCAAGGTTCTTTCGACAGCTTTTTTATTCGAAGGCCTAAATCATCAACTTCAGCTACACCATCAAATTCAGCATCATAAGCAGCTTCAACATTAACTTCAGGTTCAGTAACAGTTTCAGCAACAGCTTAATGGAAAGCTATAGCTTCAGCCAGAGTTGAACCTGATGACTTCGTCATCTGGGTAAAGACTCGCACAATATTCATTGGCTGTTCTTATGTTTTATACTTTACCACCATTGGTGAGTAGAATTTTTGTTTTACATTTATAAATATTATTTAAAACATATATGAACAGTAAATAAGTGTTGCTTTCATATTCATATGTAGAGAAATGACGATATGTTTTCACATGTATGCACTTTCTGTTCATACGTTGGCGTTCCCAATCGTCTCGCCTTATTTCTTTACCATTAGTGGTTAGCTACTTCTAGTGATCCATTTATTAACAGTAAATAACATTACTTAAAACATAGATACAGGTATTCAGTTTCTTATGTAGAACCATCGTCACTCACGAAAACAATGCCGTCTTGTCTCTTGTGTGTTTTAATATTCTACATATTATTTATGAATTGCATTGTTAATTTCACATATATAAACATTCATTGAATCAAATACATATTCAGTAATAAATAATAATGAATCTTTTGTACATATTCTTAAGATAAATGACTTTCCTTGAGTGCGCACGTACTGTATTGTATACACTGGCGTTCCACTATCAGTGGTTACTTCTTCTGTACATTAAATAACATTAATTAAAACATTCTTATTTTTTAAATTAATTTTACTACAGCAACAACCAGGGTCTTATTTTCTTCAGTTTCAGGTGGATAACTGACATTATGGGTGTAAACACTGACAACAATGCTGTCTCTTATCCTCTTGTGTGTTTTAATATTCTATGTATTATTAATGAATTGCATTTTTCATTTCGCATATGTAAGGATTAATTCAATCAAATACATATTCAGTGATAAACAATAATGAATCTTTTGTACATATTCTTAAAAAGATAAATGACGCGGTATCCTTAAATGCGCACGTACGTATATGTTGGCGTTCCCAATCCATCTCTTTCTTCTTCTTTGCCATTAGTGGTTAGCTACTTCTATTGTTCCATTTATTAACACTAAATAACGTTACTTAAAACATGTATATTAATTTTTTTTTACATTAATTTTACTACAGCTACAACCAGGGTCTAATTTTCTTAATTTTCTCGTGTAGAACTATCGTCCCGGTTTCCCGGCTGTAAACACAAACGAAAACAATGGTGTCCCATCTCTTCTTGTGTGACCATATTATTATTCATTTATATTGTATAAGGTGCATTCAGAAACATTATTTAAAGAATACAGTTTGCAATTTTCATTAATTGTATTGTTTTGGGGGGGAAAAGAAGTAAAAAGATATGAAAAGGTCACATTTGGAAACGCATCTCATTATTATTGCTTTATTTTAATGGTAATTAATGATTCGCTATAAGACGATTCACCTTACACTGCAATATTGGAGGACACATTAACGTCGTTATTCGAGGATTTACTGTACAGTACTGTATATGTTTTTGTTAATGTGTGTACAGTGTTTATATATTCAACGAATTAATGGGGAAATATTTAGATGGAGTATAATGAGCTGTGATGCATATAAATAGTGAGTGTACAATAGAGGCTACATCATTATCATCATTATATGGCCTTTTTCTACTCTTGCGTGGGAAAGCCTTGATTACCCGATGGCAGTTCTCGAAGTTTGAAACATGTAAAATGAAAGTGATCAGGAAATCTAGTCTCTAAAGAAAAGTTTTCAATGGAAGAACACTGGAATAATTATGAATACTGTACTTGTAATAGGTTGAAAAACAATGCAGGGTAATAAGCAGAGTTGAACAATGTACTGTACTGTAGAATATGTAGTCACTAAATAATTGGTGGAATAATTTAGTTCACTCTGTTTTTATGTGTTGCTGAAAGATTATATCAAAAGTATTTTTAATGAAGATATCGTACATTAATGGAAGTGCAAATTGCTCCTGTACAGAACTAAGTTTCATTAAATTTCTCATCAGTGAGCTCTTCATATTGGTTTAGTGTTGTTGAAATTATGAGTAACCCCCCAAAATATTGGGCCACATACTGGTCATAAAGGACACCTGGAAAATGTAAGTACTGTACTACACCTAATTATCTAAAAAAAAAAAAAAAAAACCAACCGCTTACCTCAGCTACACGTCATATTTTCAGGTGTAACAATATAGCAAGAAATACAGTACTGTACCTTTCATTGTGGGTTTAAAATGTAATTATTTATGTAGAAGAATACTGTAGCATTCTACTGTATGTAATTTGTAAAATTTTGTATATTACAGTATTTTGTATCTTTCACCATGTATTTAACAGCTCACTCCTGTATGTATTGTAGTTATAATTATTTTTTTTGTATACAAAAGTTGAGGACAAGTCTTTATGTGGCTACTATTGGAATCAGTCATTGAAGATTTATTTTTCCCCTGTAGTCACATTTACACCTTGATAGCTTGAAGACACACAGTTAAACTGTGTATCATGCAGACTAGATTATTGTTTCTTTTGGGTTTTTTCTTTTCAAATTCTTTAACTTTTATTTTCTATTTGTCTCATTTGTATACTTGCTGTAGCCATGCAAAGTTTAATTTGAATTTAGAGTAGGCAAGTTATAACAGCTATATTTGTTTGATTACCAAACCACTATTTTATTTACTGCTGAGTCTTTGGCAATTACAGGTATGGAAATGTTGGTGGTTAGAGTGATGGGAAATTTTCAGTTTGCTCCACCTTACTTGAAATGTTGAAAAAAATCTAAGTGGTTATATTATTTATTCCTTTTTTTTTTTTTTTTTTTAACTGATGAAAAATAGTATTCTGCCTTTCCTTTTGGATTTGTTCTCACCATGATGCATAGGAGGAGCATTAACCTGAATTATTAACTTGTGTATTGTTTATCGCTCAGCGAATAGATTTTAATTAAGGTGTCTTACTTTTAACACTTCTTTGAAAAAGGCTGCATTTATACAGAATTTCAAGTATCACTTCAAATAATCAGAGAAATATATTTTTGCATGTTGGATATGGAATCTCTTGTACTTTAACTAATATAGACAATATGGCTTCGAAAATTAAATTTGTTTAATCTAATGTGGGCTTGCATCCTGTACATGTATTGGAGTGGGATGTAGGTGAGCTTGTTACTGCAATATGAGTAAAATATGATTGGCTATTGCGAGGGATAGGCGGCAGTCCTGACCCAAGTACTGTAGATACTGTAGATGTAGATATTTATGTGGTATATAATGATAATTGATGATAATATGGGAGACATCTTTATTGTATGAGAGGTGCTTAAAATGTTTTAAGAGTGCAGTACATGTTTATGATTACTGCATTTGTTTGTTTTGCTTATCAGGAATGTGGTTCATATTTTACATACAGTATGGGGCACATTTGTTTTTTAAAAATATGTACAGTTGCTCAAAAAACTATCATTACAAAATAATGTTGAGAAAATATGAAGCAATGGATGAAGGATTTTGACAACCCTACCGAGACAACAGGAGTAGTAGTGTTCATTCTGAAATTCATCGATCCCCCAAGTAAAGATAGTTTCTAAGTGACTGTACAGTACAGTATATAAAATTACAAAATCTAGCTCCTGATTCAAGTAATTTTAAGTAAAAAGAATATATTTTAAAATTTGTACACTTAAAATTTCAATTAATTTGTAGTAATGGATGCAGGTATTATACTAGTCTTTTGTTTTAGGATACAAGAAAAAATTTAAGTTTGTGATTCAAAACTTTTGTAAGTAGTATTCATCACCATTATACAGTGACTTAAATTCTGCTGTGGTGTAATGACCCCTGGGCAACTCAATATTTTCCCTTCTTGTCAATTAATGACCTTTCAGGCCATTTTTATAATTGTGAACTGCTGTGTATCTCCTTAAGCTGACCAAGTCAAACAGAAAGATAAGTTTGTGTCTTGAAGTTAATACTTCACATACAGTACTGTATACAGCATACAGTCACTAAAGTTAAAGTAACCTTCACTTTGCTGTTAGGTCAAGGGATGAATTCCAAGAGGACCGAATATACCGCCATCTAGAACCTGCACTTGCTTTCCAACTGGAGATCAACCGTTTGCGGACATATGACCTGGAAGCGCTTCCAACTTCAAACCGGAAGATGCATTTATATCTAGCTAAGGCTAAGGTATGCATACATGATGTATCTTTATATATAGTATTTGGATGATTACGATGAGATATTGTTCATGTTTTTGTACAATTTGATATTGAGCTTATAAATAGGTGAACATTTTTTATAGTTGGTAAAGTCACGGTATTGGGCATTACATTATGAAATATATTATGCTGTAACTATTTATACCAACGCTCCCTAATTGTACTGTAATTTATTAATGGTCTCGTGCTCCTTCGAATATTTGAAGCTAACAAATAATAATATATATTCACAGGTTGCTGACGGTCAGGAGGTAACAGACTTCCGCTTTTTCATTCGATCAATTATCCGCCACTCGGATCTGATCACCAAGGAGGCTTCTTTTGAGTATTTGGAGAAGGAAGGAGAGAAACTTTTGTTAGAGGCAATGGATGAACTAGAGGTTGCATTTTCCCACACCTTGGCAAAACGAACTGATTGTAACCATGTCTTCTTAAATTTCGTCCCAACAGTCATAATGAACCCCTCAAAGGTGAGCCAGTAGCTCATAGTTTACAAGACATATTTCTTTAATTACAGGTATTTAAAAAATCTTATTTGAAAGAAAACCCGAGATTTCATTATGCTTCCCTTTGTCTGATTCTTCAGTACAGTACTTATACAGTACAGTGGTCCCTCGATTAACAAACACAATTGGTTTCACAGAGTCGTTCATTAACCAAAAATTTTGTTAACTGAATCTATTATTTCAATGGGATATTGGGTAATTGGTTCCAACTTGTAGAAAAAGTATACATACAAAGTACTCCTTGATGAAATCACACGGGAAAAGGGAAACAACGGAGCACCTTAGCTTTCGTCTTTATTCAAGACATCTTGAATAAAGACGAAAGCTAAGGTGCTCCGTTGTTTCCCTTTTCCCGTGTGATTTTATCAAGATTTATCTTATCCACGTTTTCATTGTGGATCTACATGAAATACAAAGTACTGTATACCGGTAATAGAATTAACAAAACATTAAATATAAACTACATACAGTACAGTACTGTACTGTACAGTATACTCTATAATAATAAATAAAAAACAATAGATTACTATGTTTTAACTTACTTTGAGGTGTGTATGTCGTATTACCGGCAGCTTTGTTTACATATCAAACAGCTGATTGTAGAGGCAGTTGATGATGACATGCCATATTCATTACATAGTGCATTGGTTCTAATGCCTTCTTCATGTTTCATAATAATTTCTGCACTGTATATTATTAATATGTGAACTAAATTTCAGAATGACCAATAAATTTAATGTAAAAATGCAAAAATATTCCAGAGACCAACAAACTGGATGTTCACTCCACTGTAAACAAAGTTAAACTGAGAAGCGTTGGTGGGAGATTCGATCAGCTGATGGGCACACAAAAACTGTTCCCTGTACTGTCTATGCTATCACTATGTTGACTAAATTAGAATGACCAATAATTTTAATATAAAAAATGCAAAAATATTAAAGAGCACAGTTTTCTTGATATTTACTCCACTGGAAAATAATGTAAACATAGAACCAATTACTGTATTGGCGGACTAGCCCATCAGCTGATGCGTACAACAAAGCGTGTTTCTCGTAAGGCTTTCGTTAATCGAAGTTTTGTTCGTTAATGGAATCGAAAATCCTTATGGGAGCTACTTCATTAACCGAAATTTCGTTAATTGGACCGTTCGTTAATCGAGGGACCACTGTATACACAAATCAATTTAATCATCTTTAGGGCATGTTTGGAATGAGTGTATGTATGAGTTGTCATTCCATGAATAGATTTTATTATTTCTTTTTTTTTTTACCATTTTAAAAACCAGGACACTATCATGCTCTTAAGTCAGTTTTACTTTACAACATTTAATTGGTATAACAGTATGAAATATTGAAATCCAGTACCTATTATATACACCTCAGAGGCTTAAAAATGTATTTTAACCATATTGTTATTGATGTTATACCTATACTTACAGTAAGGTACTTAAAGTATGGCATGTAACAAATCTATGAAAATTTTTCAGATTGAAGATTCAATACGGTCTATTGTGAATCGGTACGGACGTCGACTTTGGAGTTTACGTGTCCTGCAAGCTGAAATTAAGATGACAATTCGCCAGACCCCCCAAAGCAAGACCATCCCCATCCGACTGACCCTCTCCAATGAATCGGGATACTACTTGGATATGCACTTGTATCGTGAGGTTACAGATAAGCTTACTGGGCAGGTAAGTTACTTTTACATGATTTACTTGTAACTACCATACAATTTGCTATTGCTTCATGGTGTATCACTAAATTATATCCACAGGTATTTTGTAAGTACGTGTAGTTAAATAATTATGTCACCCATCAAAGTATCCTATCATGGGAGGCAGTTGATGAAGACATGTTTTCTGATACTTTCGGTTCAGCCTCTTACCCAAGTGGCAAAGTTATTTGGCTTGCTCTGTTTTTACTGTGCTTCAACAACTAAGGTCTTTAAGCACATAAAATAGGTTAGTGAAACACTATTACATTAACAATAAAAGAATACGAGAGATAAAACTCTCTGGGTTGAAAATCAGACTTAAGTTCGGTTGTCAACAACACTAATATGATTGTTTTGTACTGTAAGGTGTTATATGTAAGTGACCACGGAATTTGTCTCGTGACTAAAGAGAAAGCTGCATACTGTACAGTAATACAAATACAGTCAGTCCTCGACTTACGACGGGGTTAGGGACCGACGACCAGGTCGTAAGTCGAACTGGTCGCAAGTAAAAAATGCGAAAATAATACATAGAAAATATTAAATGAAATACAGTACAGTAAAAGTAATCAATAATGAAAAGTGAACAAGTTTTACTGTGCACTTACCTTTAATGTAGTCAGCTGAATGCACACGGGGCCTCAATAATTTTTGAATTAAACATGGAGAATACATTAATTGGATGAAGCAGAGGAGGAGACAGGTCCAGGTGGGTCATCAATGTTGCTTTCTTCAGACAGGCTAACATACTTGCTTGTTGAAGGTATTGGATCATCCTTAGGGAGTGAATAGGCAGCAGTGGTGGGGTGTGAGGAGACAGCAGTGGGCGACTTCTTAAAATATATGTCCAATTTAGACTGCACAGTTTGCCTTTTCTTTTCATTGTAAATCTCTCTGTAGCAAGCAAGTGCATCTTGGATCAGTCTGTCAACTTTTGCAAAACGCTCAACATTTTGATCCATTTCTTCAAACAAGGTCTCGTGAAATGGTTGCTACCGTTTTTCCATTTTCACATTGCATTATTATTTTCATTTTCATCTCAAAAGTAATTGACTGTCTCTTTTTCTTCTGTGCACCACCAGAACTCTCACTTCTATGCTTGCTTGTCATTTTAAAGGGAAATAGAAACAAAAATTTTGTCAGTACACAGCTCGATCACTAACACCAAAGACAGCCAAACACCAACTGAGTGGGCTACAGCTTGGATGTTGTACACCACGAGGCGGCCAAGCCCACGCCACGCTGTCGTACGGGACGGAAACGTTTCGGTACTAGAAAATACGTACGTAATTTGAAATCTTTTTTATATGGCTGCGGCAGTCGTGTGTCCGGGTGTTTGTAAGCCGAGGAGTACCTGTATAAAAAAGAAGAGTGTAGGGGTATATTGTGTGTGGGAGATAAGAGTGTACCTGAGAGCAGCAGGTGGGAGGTAGTACGGGTTCATTTGGTGGGAGATAAGAGTGTACCCGAGAGCAGCAGGTGGGAGGTAGTACGGGTTCATTTGGTGTCAGGTTGATAAAATATTATCGTAAAATAATCGGCTTACCTGAAAAAAGAATATCGCACTCAACCTCAGATTGAGTGTGTCCGTTTGTTTACAAAACACAAACCGTTGTTTGTCCTAGCTCCCTCATAAGCACTCTCCATCTCTCATACTTACCACATCATCAGTTTTCAGCACCTAAATAGTACTCTAGTGTATTTATCAGCACTTAGTAAATAATATTGTAGTGTGTTTTTCATCTGCATATTCCCTGGTTTATTCATTAGTCGGTTGTCTAAATGCCGAAATTGAGCCATCATACATCACTCTAAGGTTAATAAAGAACATTGTTGGGAAGGTATCACCACATCAAATACTAAACAGTATGTTATAGTGACCCTGTTTTCAGCTGATTTGGTGAAAGCTCTCCAAAAATGACTCCTGAGTAAATACAAGTCAAGTTAGAGTACAGTATATATATTTGTTTCTTCTATTATTGAAGATGTTGTATTACTCATGATGAAAAGCTCGCCATAGGAGGCTGATCATACGAGGATATAATGTTGAATTAATAAATGTGGCAGTGCCCGGTCCCTCGCCACCCCCAGCCTGTTTATACAGGAGGGTCCTTGTTATTCGAGCTCAACAGGGACCAGAAAAAAAGACTTGGATAGTGCTTCCATGAATAAAAGAGAATTAATTCCCATAAGAATAAATAGGAATAGAGTAATCGGGACCATCACATTGTAAGTGACACTCAAAATGTTTAATTTGGTATCTTAACATGCATATACCTTATAAACATTTATTAAAAATTTGATTACACATTATTTTACAAAATAACTTTACAACTTATTTAACATACATTAAGTTGTTTTGGGTCAGTGTGTTGACGCAACGCAGGCTACCTAACCACGCGGTTGGACAATTCTGCACACGCACTTGCACACTCATTTCGGTGAACCATACTTTCCATCACATCAGTCCTTTGTTGTGTTAATTTCACCTCTGAGTGTCTGAGTAATGTTGTAGCCCTTGTTTCTATTTCTTTAGTGTTCTTAAGTATGGTATGGATGGTCATTTCAGTCATGTGCAAGGTGCATGAAATGTTGGACACACACTTACCACTCTTCTTACGGCGGATCACCTTGCTACGGTTTGAACTCATGGCCACCAAAAACTCCACCAATGTCACAACAAAGTACCAAAATATCCTTGAAGCACTTTCAAAACAGACTTAGGGATGCTTGCGACTGTTACTGTGCAAGTGTGGTGCAAGCGACAAGGATGAACTTTTGAGAGAATGGGAGGTGGGTGGGGGTTTCAAAAGCTTACGCTCTCAACCAACGGATTTCATCCGTGGAATCCTCATAAGTTTGTGGAATTTTTACGTAAAGCTCTGAAAAAAAGTTGGGCTTGTAACTGTTGATCCACGGATAATGAATACAGTACAGTACTCAGATAACGAGGACCCCCCTGTATATGCAATGTCTTCGTTGTCATACTTACTACAGTAGCTCTCGTTAGGCCTACAGCAAATCTAATTAGATCACTGTATAGTATTCAGTGAACAAGTGTTCTTTTCATAATTTTTTTTTTTTTTTAAATTTTACTAATTTCTTAGAATACCGGTACATACTCTACATAATTTTATCCATTTCTTAAAACTCTGAAGTGTCCCCATTAAAGACAGTAGATACTCACATAAAAATTTCATGTAAATGAGTGTAGGTAATGAGGTGTGGTACACCAATATGATACATATGAAGGTAAGATTCAGACTGAGACACCTGCCATGCAAATCCCACGTACGAACACAAAAACCGTCTGGAATGATGCTGGAATTTCCAGATTTTTCAAATATTTCTTCTGAATAGAAGGGTGTTTTGGAGCACCTAAGAATGTCCAAAAAAGCAAATTCCAGAGTACTGTATTGAAGTCCTATGTATAGAGGTTCTATTATACTCTCAATACATTGACATAATTGTTTTCTCAAGAATAAATACCCTTTTTCTCAGTTGCAGATAAAGGGTATGATATATTTGTAGTTTAGGCCACGGTCCAAATATCTACATATTTATCTAAGTTCATATTGGATAGTTCTTACTGGTGTCCGTAACTGTTGAAATCTGTGCACCTTGTAAGCTGTTCTCAGTTCAATTCCTCGCACCACAAAATGCTGCTCAATTTGAGAATGTACAGGTGCTCCTCCACTTACGAACGAGTTACGTTCCTGAGGCTTGTTTGTAAGTCTAACTTTACTCTTGTAGATATCAAACATGTTGTAAAAAATGAAAAGATTATGGACATTTAGTACAGCTATACCCTTTAATACAGCCTTAAAACCTGGCTCACTCTTCTTCTTTTAGGTAATGTTTGTTCGTTCTGGAATTTTCTTCAAAATAATCCAGTCTCATTCACATTAAACACCGGTTCTGGCAGGTAACCCCCGTCAGTGATGATGTTTGTATCTCTGAAAGTTTGTAAGATGAATGTTCTTAAGTAGAGGAGCACCTGTATACTGAGAAAAAAAACATGCCCCATACTACTACCCCAAGGTATGGTAGTACTTTGATGGGTGGCATAGGTCAACCAATGTACAGTACTACTTGACCACAATGTTAAGAGCAAATCCACTTGCAAATAAAATTTACTTGTAAAACCAATGCCATCAGGTGAAATTTTCGGAATATGAGACTGATGTCACTCACCGGTCTCCATGTCACACCGCATCATTCAACACATGGCGCCGCTACTCTTCCCCTGCCCGGGGGGTTTTCACGGTATCTTCTGTTCAAACATTTTTGTGTGTAGTTTTGAATTTGTCATAGGGCATTACTAACCTTAGACAATAGGATTTTTGCTTCTGATATTAACATTGAGTGGAAGTAGTAACTAACTATAGCCTAGGTTTTACTGATACATTTGTTGGAAATCCATGGAGCAGACATTTTAAGTTTACTTTAGACCTCGGCAAAATTGATGCAGGACTCGGTGCAAATTGTTATATCTAGTGCCATCATGATATTTGACTGATTTGTCTTTGTCATCTGAAGTAATAGTCTGTTATCAATGTGCAGTAGCCAATGATGTCATTTTTAGGGTTGTGTTTAGTATAGTGTAACTATCAATACAGTAGTAAGTACTTGTTTTTATGAAGAATTGGCCTTTATGCCAAGTATGTACCTTAACTGATTCTGTATAAAACAGGTGATATATTTTGAAAAATCTGATTTTATAAAGATCTAAATATAATGCCACCACCACCTATGTTTCTATGCCTTCCCCTCCCCTCTTCTGGCTGAGTGGATATGTATGTAGCAGTCAGTGTGTGACTGTAATCATACACTTGTAAGATCAACTTGTGTACTGCTTTCAAATAGAATTTTGTGTCACTTGATTGTTACAAACTGAACAGTGAATGGATAATGTGCTAATGGAGTTATTTTGATGATATCCGTTCCTTTACAGTGGCCTCACGAGTTTCATGATTGCTTTGTTCTGGGGATTGATTGATTGTGGTAATTACATCCCTGGCGACGCAATGGCTTTGGTCATATGTCGCCGAATTAAATAAAAGCGTAGAAGACTCGAATTAAATAATGCAAGGTAAAAAAAAACAAATAATAAATACCAAAACTTTCATAAAAAACATTTATGCGTTAATAGATAAAACTTAAAGCTTGTGTAGAAGGCCGACTTCCTCCATGAAGGAGAGAATGTCCCCTCCCATGCTACCCACTCCCTCCTCCAGCATCAAAGAGAGATGGTGGGACCTGTCTCTTCCCCCAGCACTGGGAGGGGTGCTTATGACGAAGATCTCCGGGACTGGGGCACTCCACCAGGAGGTGTCAAACAGTCAATGGAAATAGGCTTCATATCAAAGGCAGGTAGAGGGAAATGATGTGCCACAGGGTGAGAAGCAGCTGCTTTTGCCACAGCATCAGCACACTCATTCCCCTTCTTCCCCTCATGGGCCGGAACCCAGTAAAAATTGACTTTCCAGCCCTGACATTGGATGAGAAACAACCACTTTAAAATAGCTAGAAGACACTAAGAGACACTAGCTAAGGCCTGGAGAGCACTGTGAGAATTGCTAAAGATTGTAAAATTGCTATGAAGTCGGGTAAAATTAATCTTGGGGGTAAGTAAAATACCTAGAACCTCTGCTGTAAAAATAGATGCCATAATAGGGAGACAGAAGTCTAGAAAGACTACCATAAAACCCACCCCTGCATTCTGGGGACCCCATGTGGAATTCCATTTGGCTTTCGTGCCAAAGTCTCCCCTTTCAGCCTCTTCACTCCCCCAATTTCAACTTGAAAACAGTGCTCTAATATGACTTAGAAGTAAATAAAATATAATATAAAATAGAATAAGAAAAGTAATGGATGGAAAGGAATTGTGTAGGGAAGTGCAGTAGTTAGGTATGGCAGGTGAAGGTGGAATGACCCGGCAAATGTTCTCCCATTGGGTGACTTCCATCAGCCCGACACCGTTAATTTCCACATTATTTTGGTTCATTTGGTGCTGGGTTAATAAAATTATCATAAATAATCAATTAAAAATAAATCCCACACTCAACCTAGATGAGTTATTGTATCATATTAATTTCTTGGTGATATGTTTGCATAGACAAACAGCTGTTTGTCTAGAACTATTTTTTGTACAATATCTTGTGTTATTGTATTTTTTAAGTACAGTACCTGTATTATAATACAATGTTTAGTGTTTATAAGTCTAGTGTTACCAAAGTATATGTTACTATATGACAAAGAAGTCTAATGCACCACACAATTATATTTAACTTATTCTTTAAGCAAGGTTTACACACAAAAACTCATAGGTAGAAGGTACAAAAGACATTTTATTAGTACGGGGAGCGTGAAACTTAGGAGGAAGGTGCACGTGATGTTGCAAGGCGGGGAATTTATGGGTCTGCATGAGACCGTGAATTGCAAAACTCGAGCTGCGTTAAACTCGCGAGGCCACTGTAGTTCTCAAAAAATATTATGATGCGAGTTTTTAAACTACAAGTAAAGTTTAATACTGTATTAAGAATATATTTCTTAAAGATAATAGAATGATGTAATCATAAAACATGGATGTTACTGTTGATTTCATATGTAATAGTATCAATGTTATATTCTTTTTCTAAGGCATTAGCCCACCTGGGCACAGGTCATTTTTATTGACCCCACATCAAGGCCTGGGGGGCCAAATTATAATAAAATAATAATACTGTACAGTTGTACCCCACTTAACGCGGTCAATTGAACCCAGAGGGTCCCGCGTTAAGTGAAAACCGCGTTAAGTGAATAACAGAACATATGGGATTAATTCCAATAGAACCCAGCCCGACCCCCAAACTCCACTTTTTGACGACAAATAACTATGTTGTAGTAAAAATAACATCTTAATTTTATGATGGTACATGCACACAATTAATACTTAAGAGAAATAGAGAAATACAGTCGCCAAGTTAATGTCCATTCAAATAATGGACTCAACTCCCTCCCCCTCTTCTCACACTACACTCACTGGCTCTTCCCTCTGAGAAATTTTTGGGGGAAAACCAGGTATAGTAATAAATAATTCCTCAAACTAAAGTTAGGATAATATAATTGACATTGCTGGATTCCTTGTAAGACCAGGAATATTTTGAATATAAATGTCATATATTTTTCACAAAAGATAACATATTTACTCAGAATAAACTTTACATCTAAAATTTGTATGTCTAATGCAAAATCTATGATGTTTATATTCAAAATGATCAGCAAATTGTAAGAATTCCAGCAATGTAAATTATATTCTGGCCGGATAATTTGTATGAATTTTATGAGCTAAAACAAATATCTTCAGTTAATAAAAAAAAAAAAATATTCTTCGACACTATCTGTCAATCAAAGTACCCCACCTTGCCTTCCCCCCCTCTTCCAACCGCGTGGTCAGTCCCAACCCTCCCCCCACCCCCCACCAATCCTCCATTCAAGAGTTTTTAACATTTAGTATTAAATAATACCTCAGATTAAAGTTAGGATAATATAATTGACATTGCTGGATTCCTTGTAAGACCAGGAATATTTTGAATATAAATGTCATATATTTTGGACAAAAGATAACATAATTACCTAGAGAACAATTTTTATCTAAAAATTGTATGTTTAATGCAAAATATATGTTGTTTATATTCAAAATGATCACCAAATTATAAGAATTCCAGCAATGTAAATTATATTCTGGCTGGGTAATTTGTATGAATTTTATGAGCTAAAACAGGCAGTCAGGCAGGGTGGCGGGTGGGGGGTGGTGCGAATCTAAAAATAGCTCTCGAGCCGGACACTCACCGCGTATATGATGAAAAATGCCGCGTTAAGTGAAAGTTCAGCTTTGGCAAGGCAATACGTAAAACGCGTTATGAAAGCGCTAAGCGGGTAATACTGTAATAATAATTATGACGATGATGATGATAATAATAGTTATAAAATTAATAGAAATATATAAAAATATATAACAATTATTATAAAAGAAAATAATACTGTAGTAATAATAAAAAATTATGCAAATTATAAAAAATAATAATAATAATAATTTTAATAAAGAGCCATAAATATATACAAAAATATATCTAGAGTGAGAAATGATACATGTACAGTATGTTGTGTTGTTAAAGTAAGAGAAACAATTGAGACCCAGCAGCTGTGTGTAAATGAGGCAGAAAGTCAGATCAGCAACCTGGGACTTGGTCACAATTTTTGTGATGCCATATGGCAGCAGGGTCTACCATTAGACAACACATTATGCTTCCAATATCTTCCCAGGTGGTAGTACCTCCCTGTTTGATAACTGCCTACTACCTACTACCTTATTGTGAATGTGTGTGTTTACAAATGAAAGTACCTTTATGCACACACACACACACACACACACACACACACACACACACACACACACACACAAAATGAGGATTTACACCTATTTGAGTGTAATGTACAGTATTAGTACTGTCTGTTTGTCCGTCATCAGCCCATCTTTTTTTTTTCTTTTTTTTTTTTAGAAACGTTTGTGCCCATCATTGTTGATTTGTTGTGGAACTTTTTGATTTTGCCACATACTTTATGTATTTAAATTTCCTCTTTCATTCCTAGTTTATGGTATTTACCCACTAATTTCTGTTTTTGCTTGTACAGATTAAATTTGAAGGATTTGGTGCCCGTCAAGGACCTCTGCATGGCTTGCCGATTTCCACACCATATATGACGAAAGACTACTTGCAACTGAAGAGGTTCCAAGCTCAAACCAATGGAACAACTTATGTTTATGACTTCCCTGAGATGTTCCGTCAAGCCCTTGAAAGAGTGTGGGAAGAGCATCTTATGGAGAGAGGTATTGAAAAGCTTGTGTAGGATGTGTTTGATAAGTTATACAGGAAAAATATGAAAGTTGTATAGGTAGGACTGTAATGTTTCTTAGGAAGAGATTGTAAGCCTAGCAGTGTGTTGACTGTAGAAGATCAAATGGGAAGGGAATAAGGGAAATAGAAAGGGCAGAGGAGGTGTGTGGTGATGCGGAGGCCTCTCTGGTATGGCCATTGTGTCTGAAGTTACTCAGAGAATGGGGTGAGGCAAATAAAATTAAAGTATTAAGGAAAACTACAAGATTTGTTTTACTATATTACTGGAAAACATCATTCACAGTCATACTTTTGAGCAGCAAATCATAATAAGAAATATAAAGACTGTTTTACTGCCTTTGGCATTACAAATAATAACAAAAATACGAATGCATGATGCATGTTCAGTGATATTTGGAGGGTGTTATGAATAAGGCATTATCTTTAGATATAGTATAGGTAGTTATACTGAATATGTATTATGATTACAATAATTTTTGCTTATTATTACGAGCAAATAATTTGCTTCTAGGTGGGGGAAATGTTCCCAGTCACCTTATGAACTTGGTGGAGTTGGTCTTGGACCAGGATGATCAACTTGTGGAGGAGAAGAGGCTACCTGGTGAGAACAATGTAAGTCCACACACTTTGTATGTTTTCCATGAAATGTGGAAAGAAGTTTTGGTAACTAATAAGAAGTATGAAGGGAAAAATTGACAAAATCATATAGATGAAAGTTTTCCAGGATAATGTGCTAATGTAGAGTGGAGGTTGTTGGGTTTGAGAGCTAAGTATTGTCTTTTACAAACTTATATTTATTGCAACTTATTTTTTATCTATAAGTACAGTAATTGTTTTAGTTGCATTTATATCATATGGTATTATAAGCATTTCACTTTTTTTAACTAGTAAGAAAAAGATAATTGATATAATTTACTTAATGTTTTTGTTTCATCTATGTTGAGAATTTGGTAGTGTTTAGATAGCTTCTCTGCATCCTTAACCTGCCTTGTTGTCTGTTTTACTGTAGATACTATACTGTACATTATATCCAAATCTTGAATAAAGTACATTGTACTGCATGTAAGCTGACAAGAAGTACTTTTGTGATCATAGTTGGGAGATTGCACTAACTGCATCATTTTATTTATTTTTTTCATAAATAGATTTATTCCTCGACCACAAAGCATTAGTTAATGAAACTTGTGCTTGAGAAATCAGCGGTGGTACAGGTTATATATCAAGGAGGCAAATTTAGGATTGTTACAGTACTGTATGTGTTATGAAAATTTTATTGCTAAATAAACTAATAAATATTGAGAGTAGACATTTACAAGTACTGTACTGTACTGTAATAACTACAGAAGAACGTCGATTTAAAGCGAGTCAACTTAAGATTATTGATTTATAGCGACACCCACAATTAAGGACAATGTTTTAATTTAAAGCGAATCTTTCCTATTTTGCACGAGTCAAACTGGGGCATCATATTTTAAAATTTGCGCCTAATGTTTCTCTGGGCACGCTACACTGTCCTAAGGGCAAAGCTGTACTGTACATGTACTCAAAATGATGTACAGTACTAAATGATTACTATAATTTTTGTCTAGTGCAAACTATAGCATGATTATATTCAAATTAATCATTATCTTACAAGAATTCCAGCAATGTAAATTATATTCTCCCTGGTCACTTCTGTGACATTTTATAAAAACAAAACAAAAACTCCATCTAAAGGACATAAATAAACAAATAAATGCTTCTCTAGACCTTCAGCCCCAACTGTCAAACGTGTCGCTGTCCCCCCCCATTTTACCAGCCAGGGTTGGGCGGTTATAGGCTTACAGTTTTTATCTTATATAATATCACAGACCAAAGTTAGGAGAGTATAAATTGCACTGCTAGAATCCTTGCAACACAGCGAATAATTTGAATATAAACGTCATATATTTTGCGCAAGATATAAAATTTTTAGCCCCTTGTAATAAAATTAATTAGAACACGTCAGTTCAGTGACATTTTATGAGAGAAAAACTTAAAGGCACTCTTAAGGACAGATAAATAAATAAGCACTAGACCTTGGCATAACTGTCAAACATATCAACCCTCCCCCCCCCACCCCACCCCACCCCAATCTTCACATCAGCTGATCGCTAGAAAACAGACCATTTCACGCATAATTTTAGCTGTATTGATTTATGAGTGTTTGTTCTAACATAATACTACAAAAAACAATGTTTTGTTTATTCTAGGAGATGGGCTGAGGTGCATCTGGGTAGACTCTTGTCTTTTTAGTATTGTGTTTCTCTCAAGTACCAAACTTAATTATTCCATTGAAACAACACTTTGATTTAGTGCGAATTCGGTTTCAAGCGACCTCTCCTGGAATATATCTCATGTTATATCGACGTTCTACTGTAGCTCTGTTTTCAAATGGGTGTATTGGTCAGATGAGCATGTTGGTATTGATGTCTGTATTTACTATAGCTAACCACTTCACTACGGGGATAGCATTTTTAATAATTCATTTGGCTAACACCAGACGATTTTACTCAACACTGAGGGAATCCCATACTCAAGTGGTTAAAGCAAACAGCAGATGCAGTAGTTAAGATATATACAGTACAATTCCTTTTATCCGAACTCCTCAAATACCTGGAAAGTTCGGATCCCTGGACGTGCTTACAAGAAAATGCGATAATTAACATCAAGTCAAAATTCGGTTTAGCGATAGCATGACTCACTGGGAAGGGGAAAAACTGGGGAGGAGGTGGCCTCTGAGATGACCTGTTCCAATTGTTGCATGTAATAAAACTATAAAATTTATGGAATAATAATTACAATACTGTACTCTAATGTGGCTTAGGAATAAAGAAAATATAATATAAAACTACAAAATTTGAAAAATGGAGAGCATACATGTAGGTGTGTATGTGTGGGAAGTGAACATATGCATGGCCTCGTAGAGGCAGTGGGCTGTAACTGCATCGCCGACCCGCCACCCACCCAATCTGCACTCCCTCCCCCCAATGTGACACCACGGCATACATACATACACACACACACACACATCTTGGAGTCAGCTGGGTGACTGCTTGGCTGAACTGTGTCGCATCTTCCAAAGGGGATGGTTTGAGTGTGGCCTTTTTTTTTTTTCTTTTTTTTTTTTTTAAATATGTGCTATTGTATTTTATGATATGCCATGTAATAATTTTATTGTTTATTATAGCCAACACTTTCCACTAACCAAAAAGCCTGGCACGCTTTTAAACAAAGTGACTACAGCGCCACAGACATGAGAATGAATGACTTCGTTTGCGTTCAACTTGTTGGACTAGATTAGAATTTTTACCAAAGGGGACAAAGTTTGGATACCCGGAAGATTCATATACTCTGGATCATCAGGATGAGACTCCTCCTCGCTCCCACTATGTGTAGGTTCATCTGGGTCTGGACCACTACCGGTAAGAGGCCCAGTGGCAGACTGGCCCACCGGGATACCGGGAAATTTCCCGGTGGACCCCAAAGTGATGCGACATTACTAGGTCCGTACCAATGCGCCCGAATGCGACCTAAAACTACGCCATGTGTTTACAATCGCCGAGTGATTCAAATCTTGCCGGACGAGATTTCCGGCGGAAATTACCTTCTCGGCGAGATTTCCGGTTTATTTTTTACATAAAACCGGATGTTTATATCTACTCTCGTTTACATTCTATCTTAATTTGAACAAAAGCTGTTTTCCAACGTGAGTTTCAAACAAGTAGCACATTTCAGTTTCTTCGATTGCTTATTGATAATTTAAATTTTGACGATGAAAACAAATCAGATGTTCTATGATTGAAATTTTAATTTTTATTATAAGATTATTAAAATTTTCTAGTATTTGTATTATGCACGCATTAACATAAACAAATACAACAATATTGAATAGATGTAACTTTTTATTTGCTTAAAACCTTTACTTTTATTTGATTCCTTTGACTACGTTTTGGGATTAAGTGGGCCCTTTTTTTTTGGACCCCTTTGAGTGGGCCCTTTTACAAGTTTTCCCGGAAGAAATTTTTGACCCAGTCTGCCACTGAAGAGGCCTGAATAAAATCTTGTGAATAGGCAGAGTCTGGAGTGACAGTAACCTTGATATCACCATGAAAATTAGGTGACTAGCATCTCCAGTACTCTGCTTACAGATTGAAAAGATGTCAGGGTCCTTAATATGACTACAGTGCAGTAGGGGCGAGATATATCGCGAGATAGGGTCCAACAATGTTCGCTGTATCCTAAATTGCGATATATATTTACATGTAATCAATGAGGAAAATAGGTTTAGGTTCTGGAGACCAAAAAAAGTGACTAAACTTGACTTAACGAGTTCATTTTCTAACTAACTAAAGCACCAATGAACACTAGACTCGGGAACAACAGGCTATTTCAATATCAATATCAAGGAACACTAGACTCGGCAGCTGACGCACCATCCTGGGAACACCAGACTCGGCAGCAGACGTCATACTGCCACTCTCACTTGACAATCCCACACCTACATAAACGAACAAACCAAAAATATTAGTTACAGTATTAAATCTTTTACATTATGCTTTCCATTAACCCTCACTTCACTTTTCATGTCACTAGCAACCCATTTCCACTCGCCTTAGATGTCGTAATCTGCAGCAGGGTCAGTTGCTTTCTCGTCACTCACTCAGAAAGACTGAGTGGGTGAGCGTGAATGCGTGAGTGAGCAGCCGCGGTGGCGCTTCTGGTGAACAAATAACGCATTTGTTTGCCATGGAGCTATATATAGGAAAATTTTGATCATTTTGGTAGCCGCGATATAAAATTTTTTTTACATGAAGTCGCGATATATCCTGACCCTACTGTACTTGTATCCTTCTGGAAATTTTTTTACGGCTATAACCATAACCTGGAGAGGGGAAAATTGGTAGCCCGTGATATCGTGGGCATAACCTTGAACTGGTTAAACAGATAACGTTAAACACAGAAAACGGTTACAGTATATGCCTAAATTTATTTAATGAGATGCTCATCAGCTTCAGTTCATATTAAGCTGGATCTGACCTAGTGAAAGAAAACAAAAGTACTGTACTGTACAGGGGGCCCACTAAGTTCGCGGATTTTTATTTCGCGGTCTTCTATTATTCGCGGATGACACCCTGGATGTACCCAAGAATATCTGCAGGTAGTTTTATAGTTTTCGGCATTTTCGCGGCTGGGACAGGGAGTCATTTGTTCTAGAGACATTAATTTCCTTTACCTGTATTGTAAATACAGTATGTGTGTGTAGACACACACACAAAACACATACAAATAAATAATAATGGGAAAATGCTCTCACAAATAATCAGAAATAAATCTATTAAAAATGTGAGTCTACCCTCAAGTCCGTGCTTTATTACTTTATTAATAAAACACAGACTTGAGGGTAGACGCACATTTTTAATACATTTGTGTCTGATTATTTGTGAGAGCATTTTCCCATTATATGTATTTGTGTGTGTATATACCCTGTACTGTATATACAATACAAGTAAAAGAAATAATTTTCGTATGGGCAAATACATAAAGGGAATATACATTTCTTTGTACACAAGTAAAAATGTAACCCCCCCCTCCCTCCTGTTAGCAAATGTTATTCGCGGAATTGGCGATTCGAGGCCATTTTGAGAACCTAACCCCCGCTAATTGGGGGGGGGGGGCTGTACTGTACACTGATCATGATAGAAAACTGCCATCAGCATCTAACTTTTCTCATCTTGGTTTTAATAATTTTCATCCTGTTAGCACAAATCTTTGTTTATATAGAGTCAGTGATGAATTTTCTTGTCTACATCAGCTATAGCTACAACTAGTGAAAGAGGTAATAGGTAAACTGAATTACCGTTAATTTGGTTTATTTTATTTCAATATATTTTCTAACTGGCTGTGTACAAGCAAATATTGCTTTTGACTCTTTCCCTTACCTATTTATTTCCAAAAGTTATGAATTTTTTTCCTCCATTTTTAAACCTTTACATATGGACAAAGAAACACATAAGACATTTTTATTGTATATTATGTAGTCAATACTAATAACTAACCTGAGAAATCTCGGGAATTACACACATACACACACACACACACACAAATAAAAAAATGTAGAGTACATCAACAAGATCATAAAAATTTTGTTTTTTAATTATTGCAACATACAGTAAACCCTCGATAACTCGGCACCTTGCCGAGTTATCCAAAATTCCGACTTATCGAGGCACTTCCCCCTCCTACAAAAATACAACAATAAAAAATTATCGACCCATTTATGTGTACATGTAATTACTACCGGTAAATGTAAAAAAGTAACACTTACCAGCACTGCAGGCGAAGAATGAAGCATTACAGTAGGTGACACAGAGGTATGGTAGGTGACACAGAGGTATGGTAGGTGACACAGGTATGGTAGGTGACACAGAGGTATGGTAAGTGACAGAGGTATGGTAGGTGACACAGATGCATGGTAGGTGATACAGAGGTATGGTAAGTGACAGAGGTATGGTAGGTGACACACATGCATGGTAGGCAACACAGAGGCATGGTAGGCGACACAAAGGTATGGTAGGCGACACAGATGCATGGTAGGCAACACAGAGGCTTGGTAGGCGACACAGATATGCCGAGATTTCCCAGATAATTTTATATATCTCGACATTTCCCAAGTTATACTATAATACATTCCGAAACCGTATGCACGCCGAGTTATATGAAAATCCGAGTTATCAAATGCCGAGTTATCGAGAGTTTACTGTATGTACTATCATCTGGATCAGAAACATAATTCACAGAAGCCCCAATGGTGTATGGAAATTGTGGGGAAAGTTGACCAAGACGAAGAGTTAAGTCCACCTGTTTCCAACCTTGAACATCAGTCAGAATTAATGGTTTGTCATTATAGTCTGTGTTTACAGTGTCAGAAACACCATCACTGTCACTGCCAGACTCATCAATTTCTGCATATTAACTGAATTCAGGATATGATTCATCCTCACTGGAATTTATACTTTTTTTTTGGGGGGGGGGGTCAAAATGGCAATAAAATGAATGATATTCATCACTTCTGATTCCCATTAGCGGAGCGACTTTCAGCAAGTCTTGTGCTGCCATCTATTGATAGAAAACATACCAAATCAAGAGTCCTGAGTTTACTGGGGCTAGTATTTGAAAATGAGAGGAACTTTTTTTTTTCCAAAAAGTTAATTCACTTTAGTAAGACAAGGGGTTAAACAAAAGTTATTTATGATTAATTTCAGAATAAATAGTGTTGTTTACTACCAAAGTATTGTACAGTAAAATACCTCAAGTTCATGTAGACCTCATAAAATACAGTACCTGTAATATCTGCATGAACTTAATTTACTGAAGTCTTACAGAAAAAATAAGGCTGGATCCACACTACACAGACCATCCCCACCCATCACTCATATTGCTTCAGCTTTATCACCTCACCCACTCTACCAGTACAACACCATACATTCACTTATTTAAATTTTAATATAATTCAGTGTATTTACATAGCATAAACATTCACCACAGTGTACAGACATTTCTGAGGAAATCAACATGTGGAACATGGTAACTATAGGGATCACACACAGGATAAAAAAATATAAATACTTAAAATTAAATTTGCATGGCTGGTTGTGGAGGGATGAGGTGCTGCTGATTGGCTGTGTGAGATTAGGTGTGTTATAACTACCATAGTTACTTTGCAAGTGACATCAAGGCTGCCTTACAAAAGTAAATAAAGATGAAAGTGCACTGTATCCTCATTAATTCAGATTGTCTTTTTTTTTTTAATGAATTAAACGATTTGAATTGGGAATGAATCTGAAATAACCGAGCGGTTCCGAAAAGTTGATTATTATTATAGGAATATATTATGAAATTGATTAAGATGAATTAATTATAGGAATATAATATGAATTATATTAAGAAACTGTACAAAACAACGTTTGGGTGCGTAGCTGGGGAGAGAAGGTGGTGGAGGAGGAGGGAGGACAATAATTCCCATATTATTTAGATTCATTTAGTGCTCGGTTAATAAAGAATTACAAAAAATAATTAAAGTTTCCCCCCGAAAAATCCCACACTCCGTCCCAGATGAGCTATTGCGCCGTAGTATATTCCCAGGCACTTAGAGCGGTAACAGCTGATCGTTCCTTCTCTCCCTAACACTGTTGCCAGCACTCGCCATATCTCGAGTACCATTATTGTCACTGCTCAAGGGGGTTGGTGCTTACCACAGGGTCTGTCTTGAGCACTTAGTAAATAATATTGTAGCATATTTATCAGAACTTAATAAATATAATTGCAGTGTATCTATACAAGCTTTGGGTAGAGCTCCCTTTTAACTTGGCTTATATATAAATAAGTTAAGGGGTTAAGTTACAAACCCAAATGGTCTTTTCTCCATTTATTGGTAAACTAAAATGGTCACAGTCTATTAGTAAATGCACCGTAATTTATACTGTAAGCTGTGAGTGTCAGTTAAGGACAGATCTCGGCTTGACTGAGTTAAGTCACCCATCCGATTCTCGCGAAGCTCAAGTGAAGACTCGTGCTCCTGAGGGGAGGTGCCTGTGAGGAGAAGCCGGGCTGACCCTACATTCTCAAGGTTGGCCTACTGATAGAGAAATTTCCCCTCACGTGAACAGCACATGGCAACTCGCAGCTTATGGAAAATACTGTAGGGTGATTGTATTATATAAACTAAATGTATTAACCCAAATTTATATAATTGTTATTGCCATGAGACAGGGGCTAATACATATCATGCATCTCAATATGCCTTTGTTTATTCACTGATCAGTTGTTTAAATGCAAAAGTAGCCAAATCGAGCCATCATGTACAGTACCAATTGATTTTAAAATAGAAATCAGAAATTAAAATGTTATAAGACAATACTTTAGTAGTGCTGTTCATGTATGTGTTGTGTAAGTGCCTTATCAAGTCACTGCACCTCTTGCCTCATCACCTCATCTCTCACCTCGTCAACCCGCCCCTTGTCTTGCAGTGTCACATTTATTTATTTCTGTATTATTACTGTATGTTCATTTAAAAACATATTTGTTTGCACAGTAATTATAAATAGATTATTTTATGTGGCAGCCAAGGCAAGGCACAAAAGCAACAGAATATGAACAAATAATTGAACACAAAAATTCGGAAATTGTCGAATGTCAAAATATTCCGAACTCGGTTAATTTGAATTTTTTGGTAATTTGAGTGACCCAGAGCCCCCTTTTTGTCGAATTAACGAGGGTATAGTGTATTATACTATAGTGGGATTGCACACACGTGTCACCAGCCAGACTACCGTAAAGTATAAAGGTATGTGTTGGTCTGAATACATAAAAAGCACCTGCACACCTGTCTTGATAGGGGAAAATTAAGTAAAAACCCGGTCTTAATTTTTTTTTTACTGGGTTTCAACCTATTTTGCCACATGGTTCTGATTGCAAATTTGCAATTGAAGGCATGTAAACTTAAGGAGTTGGTCATATATTGCTTGCTCACAGATTTACAATTTCATGAACTCCAAGCTTGTGGTACTTTATTGTATATACATACAGTACTGTAATAAATAACCATCTGTTATATATGATTATTGTACTGTATTGAGAATGTGTGTACTGTTTGCACTTTAAATCCAACAAGAACATCCAGTGCCATCAATTAGCTTCAATTGTATTATTAGCTAACCTACTATAGTATGGCTCCTTTGTTTCCTCAGTGATATTAGATTACATAAGATAGAAATAACAGAAGATTCATAATTTGCAATCTTTCACTGGCTGGAAGAAATAAAAAATGAAGACCTTATCCTCACATCTATTATACAGTAGTCATGTTTCATTGGTTTTAATATTTTCTTTGTTATTCATATTTTAAAAAGTGTAACAGTTCTAATCCTAAGACATATAATAACCTAATTCCATCAATTTATATTTTCTGTCCTCAGTTTGTTTGGTTTTCCCACGTTGAGCCTGAGATGTGTGTGAGGTATAATCAGGGATCTCTTATCATGTAGCTAATGATATGGGGTAAAATCTCGGCCCTGAAAAATGCATACTGTCATTGTACAAGTTGTTAAAAGATGATTGATAATTTGAGTACAGTATAATATAGGAGTGATGGCAGATTGTTTGCAATGACAGTACAGGTACTTGTGTGAGTAGCAGGAGATAAAAGAAACTTATAAATTAATACAACCTTGTCTAAATTTTTGATTATTTATTCCCGTCACACTAAAACACACAAAGAATGTTTATGAACGTATTGAGAGAGAAATAGTTATGGGAAATGAGTAGGGTAATAAATCGTCAGGTATGCTAATAAGATTGTGTGCTCACTAATTAGAGATATGAATTAAAGTTTGGAGTAGTGTTTTTGTTTCATGATTACAGGATGGATGTAGTGGTAAAAAGAGAAGAGTTTTCAGAAGCACTAACTACAGTGGAAGGCTCTGGAGTGGCCCTGAGGGCTCCCTTCGCAGGGAAGAGGTACTCGTACACCTTATTCATATAAAAGGTGTTGGGTTTTTATAACGTGCACTATTGCTTAAAACTCTTACATCATTCCAAAGATGATATTATATGCAGATTATATTCCCAATAACTTCACAACAAAGTTTGATTATTTATAACTTTGCCAGGTACATCATGAACTTTGCATGCCAACTGGTACCAGAATAAGTCCTTGTATGAACTGTATTTAGTGGTGTTATGACTCAGAGGCTCTGTACCACTTGGAGCTCAGTGAAGTGTGCTTTAAAAATCATTGTCTTTCATAAAATTTTTTGCTATTTTGTAATACTGTAGTTTCCAGTTTAATTTTCTTTCATGTTGGATCATTACCAATATAATGCCAAATATCACCTTAAGGAAGGATTAATGTAAGTTATATATAAGTTGTACTACATATTTACTTAGTTTTTAGTGCTCCCCAAAATCAGGGGAGTCCATTTGCCCCATTTTCCTTACATTTGTTAGTCTGTAATTCCATTCATCCATCTGTCAAATGTCATGAATACCCCATAAGTTCTTAACCAGTGATGGAATTCAAATGAACCTTTACACAGGAGATGATATATTGCATTTTAATTCAGGGCATTTTAAAGGTCAAAGTCATAGAAAAGAGTAAAACAGAAAAAAGTTCACATATTCGTTCTTGGTTTCATCAACTTCTTGTACAGTATTAGGAGTTATGCTACATTTCAAAAGATATATATATTTTTTTTGGTCACAGTTATAACTTTGTAAAATTTAATGTTAATGCTAAATTCTTGCAGCTGCTAGGGCAAGGAAATTTTGTACAATTACGCTAAGAGAATTGAAACATTTACATGCAGTTTTAATCACCATATTTATTATATTTAATTTAGCAGAGTCCTGTAATTACGGGAGAATGGTTATGTAATTTTCGTGTTATTACAAATCGGTGATATTGCAATACTGTACATTGTTTCTGTGGGAAAATGGGAGTTAAGTTCCGAAAAGTACACAAAGCATTCTACATATTTTACTAAATGTAGAAATACAGGTACTTGCAGCTAACATATTGTGGTGTAGTGATGCAGCATGAGACATCTTGACAGCAACATGGGGTCTCCTGGTTTGCTGACAGTTGGGTGAGGTGATGTGAAGGAGACCTCACTCTGCCCCTGCATTCCTGCTTTCAGCCACGCACTTAGGTTTGATAGGTGGTGAGCGGGTAGCATAAACAATTAAGTGACATTAAAGATGCGTGTTTGAACACAGAATCCCCATTTTTCCAGCTTCCTTCCAGAATTTACCCCCGAGACCCAAAGATCGCTAAACCGAAAATTGCAGATCGTTAAACAATGAAGGTTATTGGAATTTTAAATAGCTAAACTGAAAAATCGCCAAACGAATGATCATTAAACGGGGATACCTGTGATGTGGTTTTGTAGAATTTAGTTTAAACATCAATTTGTAAGCAAAGAATTCTTTTATATCTTCATGGTGTGCATTACAGTACTATGGTTTATGAACTTTATTGAGTTCGATAAAAATGGGAATACTGTACCTGTACTACTAGATGAGGTTAACATGCAACACTTGTACTTTGTTGCAGCCAGAGAAAAGTAACATTCTTTTGGAATAACTTAAACATTTCGAGACCTCATACTTGATTTTAAACTAATAATTTTCTGTTATGGTTTGTGATTGGATTATACTGTAGTTTTGTGCCTTACCTGTGGACATGCCAGGGAATTTTATAATAATGCCCATACTTTTTCTTCATTTGTTTGGCCATTCTTTTGTAATTGGTAAGTACGTGTACTGTATATCACTACTGTATTATATTCAGATATACCCTGTATCTACTTTTATTCTAATCAGAACCACATTCACTAAACTGGTAAAATATCACTGGGATAAGAGGAAATATTTACTTGCATGAGTGACCTGGTAAAGTAAATGGACATTTTAACAAATCTTTGAAATCTTAGTTAAATCAAGAAAATTTATTTGCAGGTTTTACACAACTTGCTAGCTACTATAAATATTTGTCATTGTATTGTTTAGGGTTAAAAAATTTAGGTATGGTAAATCCCAAACCTTATAGTAACTCTTTGGTTAAAGATTTTATTTATTCATTTTATTTTTTAATTTATTTATTTATTTATTATTATTATTATTTTTTTTTTTGTGGCTAGCCATATTTCTTCCTGTTTCTTCAACCTTGTGTTCATTATTTGTCCATAACCATTCACTGTGAGAAATTAACTAAATTGGTTTCTTTTTATTAGTAGCAATTCAAAGGAAAAAAGACAATATCATAGTTCTAATATTTCCTCTCAGTGAAATTTTGTTATTGAACACAATTTTTGTTTTCAACAGATTGGCATGGTTGCCTGGCGCATGACACTACACACCCCAGAGTACTCAGATGGTCGTGACATCATCATTATATGCAATGACATAACGTACCAGATTGGCTCTTTTGGTCCACGGGAGGATATACTTTTCCTTAAAGCATCACAACTTGCAAGACGACTCAAGGTAATTTGTCTTGTGCGACTTGAATATTTTTGTTTCTCGTCTCTACTTTCTGTTCAATAGGCAATTGACAGGTTTTGCAGGAAGGTGGACTCTCATATTTACTCCGTAATTTCATGTTGGATCAGATATATCACGATGTAGGTTATTATTTGGTTCTCTTACCTTCATTACTTTCCTTTTGATACATAGTGTAGCAGTATGGTAATTTCTTTTAGGTTATTTATGGGTAACTTTCCTTGCCATCTCCAAAATGCCTTATTCGAACTTATTGCAGGAGGATGGAAGCAGAAACTTATCTCAAACTTGAATCACTGTCTCAATAAACACAGTAAAAATACTGTAATCTTATACTTCAGCAACACTCAAAACATTTGTTAAAGACTTGGAAACTAGTTAATAATGGCTGATGATGTTCTCCCATTCCCATAACAGTTTTTCTCCTGTTGTCCCAGGAGGAAGTGTGAATGCATTTTCACAGCTATCATTGATTGTTAATATAATCTAAATATTCTTTTCAGATACCAAGGATCTACATCGCAGCCAACTCTGGTGCTCGTATTGGTCTAGCGGAGGAAATAAAACACATGTTTAAGGTGGCTTGGGAGGATCCATCAGAACCAGATAAAGTATGTTTAAGTAGTGCTGCCAGGAGGAACATTGATTCTCACTTAAATTGAAAGTCTTCCACTTGCTTAGATAACTTTAGTGTACGGTATATGTGTTAGTTATGGTCACTTAAATAATCTTAAGGTGTATAAAAGTACTACAATACAGTATATTCATAATCTATTGATTATTGTCATATAAATAGGTTAATTTGTAATGTTTCAAGAGACTTGATTCACTGGTTCCATCCCCATTTAATTTGGAGTGGAAACTGCAGATTGTTTACAGATATCCTGGAACAGTAGGCACACCACTTTGTAAAATTAGGAAATGCAGTTACGATGTTGCACCAGGCAGCCTAAGGGTCGGCTCACACTGAGGCCGGAACGGATATACAGTATTCGAACATTTAATTCAAATCTTTCAAATTTTATCCAAGAGGGAAGACAGTTTCCCTCTCCCTAGAAAGACAGCAAGTCATGTAACTGGAATAAGCTAAGTTGAGAAAATCGTAATACTCACTGTGCCTCGCACATTGTCTCTCCAGACAATATGCTTCAGAATATGTCCGATTCCGGTCTTAGTCACATGCATGAGAAACAAATGGCTTCACAATGGAAGATCGTAGATGAAAATTTGTCTTGGAACACTTAGTGTTTGATATGAACTAAGAAAAGTGTGGGTAAGAGTTTTCATGCATTTGTTAATGTGGCATTGTACACTTACAATGGTCCCTCGATTAACGAGCACAATTGGTTCCACAGAGTCAGTTGTTAACTGAAAATTTCGTTTACTGAATCTATTATTTCAAGGGGATCTTGGGTAATTGGTTCCAACTCACAGAAAAAGTACATACAAAGTACTGTATACTGGTAATAGAATTAACAACACATTAAATATAAACTAAATGCAGTACTGTACTGTACAGCATACTGTACAATAAAAAATAAAAAATAATACAGTAGAATACTGTATTTTAACTTACTTTGAGGTGTGTATGTCGTATTCCCGGCTACTTTGTTTGCAGAGCAAACAGCTGATTGTAGAGACAGTCGATGATGACATGCCATATTCTTTACAGAGTGCATTGGTTCAAATGCCTTTTTCGTGTTTCATAATAATTTCTGCACTGTATATTATCAATATGTTAAACAAATTTCAGAATGACCATTGATTTTAAAGTAAAAATGCAAAAATATTCAAGAGACCAACAAACTTGATGTTCACTCTACTGTAAAAAAAGTTAACCCTTAAGCCCTGGGTTAGGGTGCTGCTGGCAGTATCCCCCCTCCCCTGCAGGGTTAAATCGTGAAAAAAAATCAACTTTCAAAAAAAAAAAAATAAATAAATAAATAAATAAAAAAATAGGCGGGAAAATAGGATGACGTTCTGGAATGTCACCCGGGGCGCGCTAGGCGGATGTTCTGGAACATCACCCGGGGCCTAAGGGTTAAACTGAGAAGTGTGAGTGGGTGATTCGATCAGCTGATGGGCGCACACAAAAACTGTTCCCTGTACTGTATATACTGTATTATCGATATGTGAACTAAATTTCAGAATGACCAACAATTTTAATATAAAAAATGCAAAAATATTCAAGAGCACAGCTTTCTTCATATTTACTCCACTGGAAGTGAATGTAAACATAGAACCGATAGCTGTATTGACGGACTAGCCGATCAGCTGATGCGCACACCAAAACGTGTTTCTCGTAAGGCTGTCGTTAATAGAAGTTGTACTCGTTAATATAACTGAAAATCCTTATGGGAGCTAATTCGTTAACCAAAATCTCGTAAACTGAACCGCTCGTTAATGGAGGTACCACTGTATTAGCATATTTAGTAGAGGATTTCAGGGTCCGACTAATTACCCAAATGTAGCCGCAATTAAGTCAAATAATGGTCCTACATGAATAAACCGGACTGCCAATCACTTCTCGACTTGTATTTGGTGTCACAAAGTAAAAAAAAAATTGGAAAACTTGATTTAATCTGAGTTAATAGATCGCGTGCATGTACCGAGGGAGCGAGTAATTACCCAAATGTAGCCGCAATGAAGTCAAATGATGGTCCTACATGAATAAATCGGACTGCCAATCACTTCTCGACTAGTATTTGGTGTCACGAAGTCACAAAAAATTGGTAAACTTAATTTAATCTGAGTTAATAGATAGAGTGCATGTACCTAACCTAACACAACTCAGATTAAATTAAGTTTACCAATTTTTTGTGACTTTAGACACCACATAATAATTATAAGTGATTCACAGCCCGATTTACGCTTGTAGGACCATCATTTGACTTCATTGCGACTACATTTGGGTTCATTTGGGTAATTACTCGCTCCCTCGGTACAAGCACGCGATCTATTAACTCAGTTTAAATTAAGTTTTCCAATTTTTTGTGACTTTGTGACACCAAATACTAGTCGAGAAGTGGTTGGCAATCCGATTTATTCATGTAGGAGCATTATTTGACTTCATTGCGGCTACATTTGGGTACATTTGGGTAATTAGTCGGACCGGGATTTCATGATTCTGTAGATAAAGTTATGTAATCCATCAAAAAAATGTGCAATTTCCCATCCAGTGTTTGATTACATTTTGTACTCTAACAATATTGGTGTTACAGGGATTCAAATACCTCTATCTTAAACCAGAAGATTACAAGAAGGTGTCCACTCTAGATTCTATTCATTCCGAGTTGATTGACGACAATGGTGAAGCCCGTTACAAGATCAACCACATTATTGGTAAGTTATAACCATGACATGTATAGTTACATAGGTAGTAGGCAGCTACCAAACAGGGAGGTACTAACGTCTGGGAAGATATTGGAAGCATAATGTGTTGTCTAATGGTAGACCCTGCTGCCATATGGCATCACGAAAATTGTGACCAAGTCCCAGGGTGCTGATCAAACTTTCTGCCTCATTTACACATAATTGCAGGGTCTCAATTTGTTTTTCTTACTATTGACAACACAACATACATACAGGAAGCCCCCGACTTACGACCGACTCGACTTACGTCCACTCGCGCTTACGACCGCCTCAGTTGTACCAAAATGTGGTCAAATTATGTCCCAAAGTCAGTACAGAGGCAAAATTTTCATCTGTAATTCACTTTAAAATGGCTGGCAAGCTTAAAACTGAGTGTTTTGTGGTGCTGAGAAGAAAAAGAGACCCAAATTTTTTATTTTCTATGTGTTATTTAAGCATTTCCGACTTACGACCATTTCGACTTACGACCTGGATGTCGGTCCCTAACCCCGTTGTAAGTCGGGGAGTACCTGTATATTGTTTCTCACTTTTGACTTGTTTTTTAATTTTTTTATTTCTTTATTATTAATGTTGTTGTTGTTATTATTATTATTATTATTATTATTATTATTATTATTATTATTATTATTATTATTATTATTGTTATTATTATTAATTTATTATTTTATTTTTCAATTTTGAATTTTTTATTATAAATTTTATTTACTGTACTATGAATTATTATTATTATTATTATTATTATTATTATTATTATTATTATTATTATTATTATTATTTTTATTTTTATTTTATTATTATTTTTATTTTTATTTTATTTTTATTATTATTATTTTTATTATTTTTATTATTATTATTATTATTATTATTATTATTATTATTATTATTATTATTATTATTATTATTATTATTATTATTATTATTATTATTATTATTATTATTATTATTATTATTTATTATTATTATTATTATTTTTATTTTTATTTTTATTTTATTATTTTTATTTTTATTTTTATTATTATTTTTATTATTTTTATTATTATTATTATTATTATTATTATTATTATTATTATTATTATTATTATTATTATTATTATTATTATTATTATTATTATTATTATTATTATTATTATTATTATTATTATTATTATTATTATTATTATTATTCCCCCAGGCCCTGATGTTGGTCAGTGACCTGTGCCTGGGTTAGCTAACCCCCATTAAAAAAAATAAATAAATACACTAACATTTATTGTGATTTCTTCATTTATTTAAAACCAGAATACATCAATACCATGTACAGTCAGCCAAGTGGGAACTGACAAAATGTTCTGGTGTATGAAGACATGTGGAAGCCCCTCTGTAGGGGGTTCCACATGTCTCTATACACCAGAACATTTTGTTGCAGTTCCCACTTGGCTGATTGTACATACTTTGTGAATCTGTGATGAAGGTTTAATATTGGATGTTTAAGGGATTGAAAGATTGCTCTGATGGTCTGTTGGTTGGATACCTGTACTGTACTCAATATTGTTACTACCCATTACACAAAAGTCATTGAAGATTATTTCATCAATATTATTACATGTGGATAATAGTCACTACTGTACTTGTGATCTGACTTGGACAGTTTTTTGTTTTTTTTAGAATATTCAAAGAGGTACCAAACAAATTTTTTTGGTCTAAGCCAGATAATGAGTCCATTGAACAGCTTGTTATTATTTTCTTGATCATCAAAGAAAACTGGGAGTATAAGGAGAGAGGGAATCCTCATTTGATGCCTTTTCTCAGAAGTAAAATTTTTAATTTTTTTTTTAACACGAGTTAAGGATCCCTCCAGAACCTAGCTACAACAAAAGGGATAGCTGTAGATACCACTGTATATTAACCTAGTTCAAATTACTTTTTGAAGTTTAGTTTTACCAGTGCGTTTCAGATAAATGTACTGCAGAAGAAAGGCCTAATTTAATTCAGAATGTGATTAAGAAAGCACTTAAGGTGAATCTTAAGTTTTCAATTAATAGGGAATTCTAGCATAGGACTTTATTGTGTTGGTCTATTGTTCATTTAAATACTTACAGAGGTTGATGACAAGTTCTCTACCTATGAATGTAGCCATTATAATGTATTTAAAAAGTGTGACACTGACATTAATATTCATCTGATACATCCTCTTCAGGCAAGGATGATGGCTTAGGTGTTGAAAACCTCCAACACTCTGGGATGATTGCTGGAGAAACTTCTCAGGCCTATCGTGAAATTGTTACATACTCTATGGTTACATGCCGAGCTATAGGCATTGGAGCTTACTTAGTGCGGCTGGGACAAAGAGTAGTGCAAGTGGAATCCTCACACATTATTCTGACTGGGTATAGTGCACTCAACAAGGTAAGGCTCAAAAGAAGTGTCATTGAATTCTGCAATGTTCAGTTTAAAATTTTTGCATTTGGGTTACAATTTGAAGTTTGCAACTTAAAACTGATTCAATATTTATTTTGTTATTGAATACAGTGATCCCTCAGTTAACGAGCGCCTCGGTTAACGAAATTTTGGTTAACGAATTACCTTCCATAAGATTCTTCACTTCGGTTAACGAGCAATCCCTCGATTAACGAATTCCTTACGAGCGCCCCTCAACATGTTTTTGCCTGCTAACTAGCTGTAGTATTAGTCCGCCAATACAGTAATCGGTTCTAGGACTTAAATTCCTTAACATTTTAGTAAATATCAAGAAGGTTGTACTATTCAATCATTTTAAAAGTTTAATATTAAATTTTTTAGTCATTTTAACAATTATTGAACATAATTGAAGTACAGGAAACTAGTTTTATGCTCGCCAAACAGCCACTCAACACACCAAGCTTGGCGTCAGTTTGTTTACAGGTTCAGAGGAAGGAACATCTTGTTTGAGACTCTTCAACATAAACGTTTTTTTTCTGTTTCCAGTCAAATTATTGGTCATTTTGAAATATATTTTACATGTTGATAATATATAGTGCAGTGCAGTGTTGATTTAAAGAAAATGTTCTTGAATTACACCAAGTGAACTGAAATTTTATGGGTGAAATGGCAGCATGGGGTGACTTCTCTTCCACCCCAATGCCTTCTCTTCTTCCTTCTCCTCCACCCCCATTTTAATTCCCATCATCATCATCAACCAGGAGCCTTCTACATGCACACCTCAAAGTAAGTGTACTTTACTGCATTTATTTTTCGTTTGAATGTAATTTTCGGTGAGCTGGAACCATTTACCCAAAAACCCATTGAAACAATGGTTTCAGTTTACGAATTTTTCTGTTAACGAGCAACCTTCTGGAACGAATTGTGCTCGTTAACCGAGTGACCACTGTATTCTGATATGTCACAGACCATGGATTGGTCCACACTTAAGAATAAGATGATCCTATATTGAAGAGATTAATGGTACTGTACCTGTAATATAAATTTTTGCAGGATCTTTTATTTATTTATACTGTATTGACATAATAAAACTTTTCCCGATGTTCGATATGTAAACGTCTTGTCTTTGCTCTCCAGCTGCTTGGACGTGAGGTTTATAGTAGCAATTCTCAGTTAGGCGGTGTACAGATCATGCACAAGAATGGTATATCACATGATGTTGCTCCTAATGACTTGGAAGGCATTCATACTATGCTCAGATGGCTCTCCTATGTTCCCAAGGTATGTCTATGTTGGTTTTACATCTTATTTGTAAAGCTTTTGCCATCTTCATGTGTGTGAACAAATGCTTAGGTGTGTAGTTTGTGTTGATCACTCAACTGATAACACTGGGTCATCATGCTACAAACTTTATTCTGGTCTCAGGCTTTTCAAAGTTGCCTTTGAGGTACAGTAGTCTTTATTTAAAATAATTATTATTCCTAATTTATTAGCTAAAGTAAAAATGAGTTTGCTTTAAATTTTAATTTTGTTTTAGAATTTATTTCAGTTTCTCCAAACTGGTTAACCAATATTACTAAGCTCTGTTGCAGCCAACATTGCTATACAGTATACTGTATACACTATAGTTGTGTATGCATTTGATGAGTGTTTTGTATATTATGTTATGTTCCTTCATTAATTGTATGTATAATTTATTTTCATTCAGACAAAAGAATCTCCATTGCCCATAATGGAACCTATTGATCCAGTGGATCGAAAGGTGACCTTCACGCCAGGTCGGGCATCATATGATCCCCGATGGTTGGTTAATGGCCGACAATCACCATCCAATCCAAGTGAATGGGAAAGTGGTTTCTTTGATAAAAATTCTTTCCAGGTATGACCGATTTATATATTTGTTTATTCATTTATTTATTTTATATATTTATTTATATATTTATTTATTATGCTTACAGTGTATTTATTCAAATAGTATTTAATGTAATGATTTTTTTAATCGGTGACCATTTTCAGGAAATACTAGAGCCCTGGGCCCAAACTGTAATTTGTGGCCGAGCACGGCTAGGTGGCATACCTGTAGGTGTCATTTGTGTGGAAACCCGAACTGTGGAATTTAATCTTCTGGCAGACCCTGCAAATTTAGACTCGGAGGCCAAGGTAAGCAACTGTCTTTGTTGAAATAGTAAATGTCATTGAGGTTTAGTTTTTCAGTACGTATGGCAAGAAAACTCATTTAAATGGTTATTCGTACATACAGTATGTATTAATTTTCTTAGTTAGTTTTCATATTGAATATTTTTAATATAGGAATGAAAACTTAATACATTTCAGAAAATGTTGCACCATTATTTTAACAGACTGTCTCTCAAGCTGGCCAAGTTTGGTTCCCAGATTCAGCTTACAAAACATCACAAGCAATCCGGGATCTCAATCATGAAAGTCTTCCTCTCATTATCTTTGCAAACTGGAGGGGATTTTCTGGCGGGATGAAAGGTATTTCTCTTTTACGCCAATATTTTTAATGGTAATATACTATATTTTACGGCATACAAGACGCACTTTTTTGTCTGAAAAATGGCAAAAAAAAAAATTAGCCTGCGTCCTACTGTATATGCGAAGTTGTGGTCTCCCGCAAGCTACTGAATCCCCCCCGTTGCTGTCTCCAGTAGGCTAAATTCTACCTAACCTAACTCCAGAATTAAAAAGTTATTGCTTACTTAAAGATTATTAATATTTTTATTTACTAAAAATAATTATTGTAAATATAAAATGTCGATCTATAACTATCCTGTACTGATGACGATAACCCGAGATGATTAACGTGTGTACGACAGACACCCAACTCTTCAAAGGCAGCTAAGCAGTATCCATTTCTGAACTCTTACAAGCATTACAATCTATTAATGCCATACCTGCAACATTTATTTTTCTGTGTACAAATACCTGATACAAATAAAGATTTACAGATAACTTTCTTTTCACATTTACATCTGTTAACATCACTGGCGGCGTTGTAGCCGGGTTAGACTCGTCTCTGTAACCACCAGGCTACTGAGTAAATTGTTTTTCAACTTGTATTTTCGGGTAGATATACGTAACTTTCTTCATTTATTTTTACTGATATACATACACACGATCTTATATACATGTTGTAAAAAAAAGTAAAAGAAATAATTGTCCTAAGGGCAAAAACATAAAAGGAATATACAATTCTTTGCACATGAGTTAACTGGCTTAGTGGGAGAGAGGGGGCTTGCTAGGGAATCGGCGGAGGTAGCACCGCTGTTGCTATGGTGAGCAGGGAGTACAGATGTATATGCAAATGGTGACTGTTCTTCTAATCTTCATTTGGCTTTTTCGGTTTGGCAATACAGTACAGTATTTCTCGTAACTTATTTATTGGTATTTTTATTTATTCCTCACATTTACTGGTACTGTACTGTATATTGTTTAAAAAAAATTATGGCATAAATGAGGGGTGCGTCTTATATGCCATACAATATGATAAGTTATGTTTTAGGGGTATGTCATGGAAACTATGCAAGTGAATGATCATATAGGTGGAGAAATTGTCACTTCTTTGCACCCAAAATCAGGTTTCGACTTTGGGTTGCTTTTTTATAAACAAAAGAGAATTTTATTGAATATAGAGGTAAGAAGAGACGTGTAGGGTAAAAGATAGATAAATAAAATATAATTAAATATACCCCCTCAAATGCTGGTGGTAGAATTTAAATTGGATTATTTTAATAAAATAAATTTATTTACTTTCAAAATACAGCAGAATCTTACAAATGTGAATTTACTTAAGAAATTATTTTTATTTTTATCCCCAGACATGTATGAACAAGTTATCAAATTTGGTGCTTACATCGTTGATGCACTAAGAGAGTATAACCAACCCATACTGGTTTATATACCTCCCTCGCTGAGCTGCGTGGTGGTGCCTGGGTAGTAATTGACTCTACCATTAATGAAAGATACATGGAGATGTATGCTGATCCCCTTTCTAGGTAAGTGAATTGGCCTCAGACTAAAATTGTCACTGGATTTAGAATTTTACTTGAACTTGATGATTTACGCGTTTCTAAGAATCTTCTAACTGCTATTTTTTTATTTTTCTCATCAGAGGGGGCGTCTTAGAACCTGAGGGACTGGAGATAAAGTTCAAGAAGAAGGATATTGTGAAAGCAATGTCACGATTGGATTCTACCATCCAAATACTGAACCAGTCTCTGAATGAGCCAGACCTTCCACCAGAACAACAGGCTAATATTAAAAAGAAAATCGAGAAAGAGACAAGACTTATTACAATGTACCATCAGGTAAATACCATTTACTGGTACTATGGTAAACTCTCCAGCCATATTTTCCCCAGAAAGATAATAAATTGGAGAATTTTGACCTCTGAAGTTGATTATAGAAATGCATTTTAATGTTTCACATTGTTGCTTGGTTCTAGTGTGCTTATACTGTAATACTATGCACATTACATAAATGGAGTCTTTAGTTTACTTTATCTAGATTATTTTAATCTTTCTCATGAGTTTATGGGTAATCAATTTATGTACAATTTATAGAACTGACTTACCTGTACATCTTGAAGGACTAAGTCAATTTAATATAACTTTTCCTTCTCTTTCATGGCAAGAAACATTGTACATGAATGTTTTTGTTTTCTACAGTTGACAGTAACTTTTGCTGATCTTCATGATACACCTGTTAGGATGCAAGAAAAGGTGATTCAAGGGGTGGTACCCTGGGCACAAAGTCGTAAAATTCTCTTTTGGCGACTCAAAAGACTATTGGCTGAAGAAAGAGTGAAAAAATAAGATCAGTTCAACAAGACTCAGTAAATTGATGCAATGTTGAGGCGTTGGTTCTTTGAGGAGAAAGGGTCGGTAGAGGTAAGTAAATTTTTTTACTGTAATGAGTTTGTGTTCCCCTCGCTGCTGTCTGTAGCTCAAACACTCATTAGAAATATGTGAAAAAAATCATAATCCATTTACCTCTTTCTACCAGGTTGAGTTTTTATTCAGAAATGTTGGTATAGGATCTCAGATTTAGAGATATTTGGATTTTGGTATATCCTGTATGCAGAACCTGTATAATGCAGTAACTCACCAACAGGGATCAAGTCTATACACAAATTCATTTATATTTTATTTACACATATGGATACATACTGTATATTCTGCAGGAAGTTTATGAAATATAATTTCATCGTTAGTTATAAAATATATAAGGCGTACTGTATACTGAAGTTAATCACTGGATCTGAAGCAGCCTGTATCTTATTCAACCATACAGACTTACAAGTAAAATTGATATGATTACATACATACATACATACATACATACATACATATATATATAGTAGTTGTAATAGAAAAATGTTTTAGGAATATATTTTAATTCATAAATATGTACAGTAACTAAAACAACTATCTGTGCAGGTGGGGGTCGATATGCTCCGAAATTTTACGTGTGACTAGTGACAGCCCTCATATACCAAAATTTATCGTCCATGGTCTCATATTGTTTCCCACAAAGTATGCACAGATAGTTGTTTTAGCTACTGTAGAAGGAATTATCTATGGGAAATTTAAATTTAAACAACATTTAATATCCCAGAGAAATTGCTTGTTTCTTATTATTAATAATATTTTATTAATGGTTGCATTTTAGACTTACTTGTGGGACAATGACATAGCAGTAGCTGAGTGGCTAGACCTACAGATGGAAGGTCACTGGTCCAATGAAGCTGGGAAATCACTGCCAGAGGAAGGCAGTACATCTTATCTCTTGGAGAATCTTCAACTCATGAAGAGAGATGCTGCAATCTCACAAGTCAAGGATGTTATAAAGGTATGCATATGCTCAGCATGATTAGTCTGCTATTTTAGAGATAATTTTGTACAGTTCATGTTTTTTAATTATTATAGTTTATATGACCCATTCCACTTACAATGGAGTTTGATACATATGGGCAATTAGTTTTATATATTGTACTATATTCCAGAAAGAAATAACTTCAAAATACAGTACCTGTATATTGCTATTCCAGACTCTAGGTAATGTACAACATTGTACATTGGAATTAGAGCTGCAGTACTTTTAAATTGCTCATTTTTTATACTACAGGAATTCCCAGAGATTGCAATGGACACCATTGTGCACATCATCCGCCGCATGTCACCAACACAGCGTGCAGACACTCTCAAGGCTCTCAATAATATGGATATTGTTAGTCAACAAGCAGAACCTGTTACTACACCAGACCCACAAGAGAATTCAAACTGACCCTTATGGTGGCGGTAGTAATCCGTACTACTAGCCACACCCACTTGCCCATCCAAGGTCTTACTAACCCTAGCTGCCAAACCCTGCCAGCTTGCCCACATCCTGATAGGTTCACCTAGAGGAAGTTGTGGTTACTGTTTTATAAGGAAATTTGTTGTATTAAAGGGACTCATATACAGTACTTTTTATATTTAAAAACAAAATATTAGGGATAATCACTATTACACACTAGCTCATAGAGGACAGCAAAAAATAGATACATCTTTGTGTAGAAGAACCTAATTTAAATACAGGTATCCCTCGAGATACGAATGGGGAGAAGGTAAAAAATACAAAATAAAATCGGTAAGTGAACTTTCGTATCTTGAATAAAAGAACATATGGGAAAAATAAGGTTCAGTTCCCCAATGATAAAAATACAGTATCTCAATATCATACTCCATAAACATCGGTTCACAAACAAGAACAAAACCTGCCTAATTAATGATAAATAGTACACAACTAGATATTCTAATTTACTAACAGGAAAAAAAATTATAAAATATTGTTTACCTTTGGTAGGGCGTAACACTAGGTTCTGCTCGTCCACAGTGATTACCAGGCTATGCAGTTGAACGTGTCGCATCACTCAGTGGATGGTTTGTGTGTGGAAGAATTTATTCTTTGTACACAAGATAATATGTAGTGTCCCAATAAATGTGTAGAATAAATATAATTAATAGTAATAAATAAAAGAAAAAAAATGTGTTGCCATTTGGCAATTTTGGCACTAGCACGAACCATGATGGAACCTGCTCCCTCCCCACTCTCTTGTGATAGCTCCCACACACATAAAAAATGTTTAATCCATTATGTTTTTGACCTTATGATAATTATTTTATTTATTTATTTTTTATTTTTATTTTTTTGCCCATTCTGTATGAAGATTGTGTATGTAACAGAATAAAAAATGAAAATTAAAAAATTAAACAACCCAAAAATACAAGTTGAAAAATAACAATAACATAACTTGATTCCTGGGGACGTAAGAAATTTTTTATCATTTTGTTTTTGAGCTTATAATTATTTTTATATTTTTTTGCACATTCTGTATGTAGGATTGTGTGTGCATGTAATTGAATGGAAAAAAAAAAAACGTTAAGAAAGTTATATTTATATCCCCAAAATTATGAGTTGAGAAATAACCATAACATAACTTCTACCTCAGCCTGGTAGGGAGAGCACTTAGGGGGATGTGGCTGGGCCCCCCCAGCTGACTCCTGGGGCACGCTCTTTGAATTTTTGCCCAGACCCAAATTCGTATAAGCAGGAGAGAGGTTTTGTATCTCGAAATACATTAGTGGTGTCAATTTAGGAAATTCGTATTAGGGAATTTTCGTATCTCAAGGGATACCTGTAATAATAAACATGAGAATACCTTGTTAACCATTAAGAAATAGCAGTTATGAATCGATAATTCATCTTCCTGCATTAAAGTCCATTTACACATAAAATTATTAATGCTCTTATTGAGAGCTTCAAAAGTCTAAATATTCCAGAAGTTCCTCAAATTCTATAAAAAAAGACTGATTTTCCAAATTCACAGGAGGTTGTAAAGACATTGAAACTGCTCTTGAGATACAGTATACTTTTTAAAATGAGAGCATCTTATGCATATATTTATATTTTTAGACATTGAAATGTGTGAAGGGTATGTAGTTAATATACTGCCTGCAATAATGGTTTCATATCTTTGGACATGCTTTGGGAAGTCATAAATGATATTAAGTAAGCTGTCTGGACCTTGGCTTTAATCCCTGGTAAATGGATAAATGTAAGTGTTATTTCAAACATAAGAGTGATTAATAGGTTCATGTTGCATTGATAAGGTTACTTGATCATCTCAAGATGTGTCTCCTCAACCAGCTAAGGTTAGTGGGCCAGTATTGTGCTTATGTCTGCCAGAGCATACTGGATGAGATTTCTTATCAAGTGGGATGAAGACTTTTTTTTCTTTTTTTTTGCATACAGTAGTAATACCTTGTAATTTTGTATTTTAACTAAGTTAAAGTGAGTATTGTTTGAGCAAAAATTTAGTTAATTAAGAACAGATTAATGAGATATTTATTTGAAATTTATGTATAGTATGCTTTAATGTCTGCAAGGACAGTATGATTTTTATGTATGTATTGGGGAAGATTTCCTTAATTTGAGCCTTTTCAATTGAAATTCTTATTATTTTGTTGTGATGTAGTACTGTAATGCATTCTGGATATATAAATATTGCAAGTCAAGAAAATGTACCCCTACTTTATTTATCAGTACTGTAATGTGATAATGAAGGTCTTGGTTTCTCAAATTAATGCACATCATTAATAGTGTGTCTGACCACAAGTTGGTAAAACTATTTGAGATACAAAAGTTTCTGGGTACAGATTAATTTACAAGTTTATAGCCAATACCTTAACCAATGCAAAACTGTTTGTTGTTGTTTATATGGGTGCATGTGTGATTAATGGTGCAGTAGGTTAATATTTATTTAGAATAATTAATTGTAATAAGACCCAAAGGGGAAAAAACCTTGATTTGGAGTGTTAGAACTGTTAAACAGATTCTATAGTTTGGTAAAAATTCACTGAAGGTGAAGTCCAGGACGATTGCTGTTAGAGCTGTACGTGTAGTGTGACACAAAGCCAAAGGTAAGTGGTTTGTGAACATTAATTTAGTGATAGTATGTATATTTTGGTATTAAGTAGGCAGCACACATTCCTATACCTAACTTTTGTACTCATTGGTGGATTTCTCACTTATTATTGTGTACCATACAATGGCCTTGTTAATATAAGAAAATATCTCGATATAAAAAATATGGAATACCCCGGTATGTGTTGGCAAGAGACATCTTCTCAGTTTCAGTACCAGTAACTGGGAAGAAAGCTGTTGACCATGCTTTGAGGTACAGTTGTCATGTTATGAGTACAGTGCAGTATTAAGAAGTGAATTTCTACTAGACCTATCCTTTGTCTCAAAAATTTGAAGAAAAAACATGAAAGTTTTTGTACAGCATATGTCATTACCTCATGTTGATATTGAAACGTCTCATGTGTTTCTTATGACATATTTTATTACCATTGGAGTCTTTTGTTGTAGTCATGTCCAACACAGTTACCATTCTTTAATGCAGATTACTCATAAATTTAACCAAGGAATTAATTCAGTAATTTATACAGTATAAATAAGATGAATGAATGTCAGCAGGCTTAGCCTTGCATATTCTAATTTGTATGGTATACATTAAGGTAGCACTACTGTATTATAAACAAAGATGTTTCTTATCAGTGAATGTATGGCACATTATTCAGGGAATTTATATAGAAGTTTTAACTAGACGTAGATATAACGTATGTACTTTATTATTTTTATTAAGAAGCCTCTTTCACATTGAAGGTCACAAATCTGAAAGGTGGCTGTTTGACTTTGAAGTATAGTTTATGCACAACTGTTTATCCTTCTTGCTTTCTTTTTGTTTCAACAGAATGTAACCTTAAAGTGAACAAGTTTCAACAATGTTTTATCTGGAATAGAGCCAAAGATTTCATATTCATATAAAGATATTGATGAGATGACTGCAATGAATACTAAAAAATAATAGCACAATTAATTTTCATTATCTGGTTACAAATACATGGGAGTCCTTTAAGAAATTTGATTTATTGATGTTTGCTAACTTGAAAGTGAACAATTTAAAATTTAGGGATCAAAGTGGCCATAAGGTTTTTCTGAAAATCCTAAAAAATGGTGTACAGGACTGTACTGTACCAGATTTCTATTCATAAAATAACATTGCTTCCCAAGTTTTATTGCATATTATATTAAGTCCCCAAAAGAGTATTGTTATATTTTCTATATTTCCTATTTGAATTGTGGAAGAAATGCTTTGAAATAGTCTCAGTTGTATCATCCTATCTTGGTATGCCCCCCCCCCCCTCACCGTTATTCAAATACAGAACAAGGGGTCCCCGGGTTACGAACGGGTTCCGTTCCTGAGGACTTTCTTAAGTCGGATTTGCACTAAAGTTAGAACACAGGTAATGTGCATACCATACCTACAGAACAATGTTTATAATCCCACTATATCATATTCTAAGTTCTTATATACATCTAAAATCACTTAATTTAAGACAAAAGAAAAAATAGAATGACAAATACAGTAAATGAAAGTAAAAAGTAAGTCGTCGGGTAAATAAAATACTGTAAGTTTCAAGTTTAACCTCGTTCTTACAGTATTTATAAAATATCTGCAGGAATAAAATTTAATTACTGGTTATTTTGAAATTCTGGCAAGCTTCTACATGAGTGTTACCAGGTAATTTGATCCACAGTAGATAATGGTGTACTGTATACCTATATTTGTGGTCAACTGTATCAACCATTCTGAAACTGATGGAATAACACTGCTCACAAAACTACAAACCACATCGACTCCATGGATAATTATATACGTCTTTTGGTGACTATACATTTAATTTTGTATTGTATAGTATTCACGAAATTAAATTCTTTGGGTATTATGGCATTGGCATATTTTGTACTGAGCATAGAGAAGTTACCTGCTAACTGTTAATCCTGATAATCACAGTACTGAGTATCTGGACCTGTCATTACAATACTTGTATGCATAATATACTGTATACTGTGTATCATTTTTTTTTTTTAACCTTAGTAGGAAGTAGATGAACCCAAGTTGAAATAAGAAAGGGAGTAAGAAGAGACAAGTTAGGCATAAATACTCAGAAAAAATGAGCATTAGCAGTTGTGACCTATGTAGCATCATGTTCAGTGGTACACTATTTGAAAATTATAATTATACTCTGCAATTACAAAAATCCAAATATTTAACAGACAAGAGAGAGCTGTAATGTTAAATTTTTCAAGCTAATTTTGAATCTGATTGTATACTTTATGATGCTACAATACAGTACAGTCGCACCAAAAAGTATCGGTGCAGGGTAAGATCGACG